AAGTGCATATAAGCCAACTTATAAATACCTATTCGTCTATATACTTATCGTCAATGTAAATTGACCGTTTATAAGGTAATATAAGCGTTTATAAGGGTAATACAAGGCTTTCTAAGCATAATATAACCGTTTCTAAGCGTAATATAAATGTTTATAAGCTACTTGTAATTGCATGGATTAGGGCTATTGTTGTTGTCCTAATTACTTGTTGCGCAACTATTTCTGGATTCCAGGTCAATCAGGATGACTAACGGAAACGTTTACCTGACATGCTCTAGAATAACATTCAGGTATTAAAAGTTCAAGGATTGACAAGGCATAAGACTGCTTTAACATGACAAATCATCTGTTTTTCTTTACTTTGAGCTTGGTTTTTATATCGTTATTGTATGTTTTGGCAGTGGCTTTATTTTTTTTCATATTTTTAATTTCAAAATTCGATTTTAAACTTTTCCAAATAAGGTAACAAACATCTGCAACATGTGCAACGATGTCTTTCCTAAGCTGCTTCAAGGTTAAAACAAAGAAGTTGAGGGTCCAAATCGCTCACGCTTCATTTGTCTTAATCCCGACCTTTTGTCGTCGAACAATCAGATAGTAGTGACCCTGCAATGACCGCAATATTGGAGTTACTTAGCCACAGATTTGAATGAGAATTAAGGTATCACATAATCGATATGACCTTTTAATTGATAATGGACCTTAATTGGGAAAATAGGGGTACGGTGGGTTTTTAGGGAAGTACAAAGATCTTTAGGTGAGGGTGGTATTACGGTCAGTTTATGAGTAAAAGTTACAGTAAACGTAAGAAGAATAGAATTTACAGTAGAAGGGTATCTTGGGGTACTGCTAGGTTGTTCAAATAACTCTGAGCTACTTTTCAATCAAAATTTTCAGGATCAAAGGGTGCAGAATTATTTGAAAAACCTGTACAAAAAAGCATATTGTAATTTTTGACAGTAAATGTTTTCTCTTAGTAAAATGTTTTAAAGTATGTACGTATCTACAATCCATTCTGACCATATTTTCGAACAAAAAACGTGTAACTGACTCTTTGAACTGACTCGTCCCCTTTGTCACAAACTGCGTAGCAACGTCTCCAGTCAACGAGGTCTTTTCGCTTCGCAAAAGTATCAATTACAGTAACTATCCAATACTCTTTCAGTCAGTTAGCTATGTTGTTGTAGGGTTTCTAAGACTCTTTCAGTCAGTGGGTCATGTTATTGCTGGTTTTAGTAGGATTATGTTACTAAATTTTATAAAAATGACATAACACTCAATAACTTTTACTATATCATCATCTCACTGTACCACATTACTCCTAAAAACTCAATATATCACCGCAATATACCGTCTTCCTACCCAAAACCCTTAAATGCCATTTTTAATTTACGGATCCAATCTGGAGTCAATTTAGTCGCGATTTCCGCCAAAGACCTGACCTTCTTGAGCTTGTGCGGCACCTCGTTTACAATAATATTGGCCTTTATGTTCGTTTGATCGCTAAGCACAAATGAGTGTGTTTGTTCTCTCTCCATAACTACATATAACATGGATGGTAAAGCGCCGCCGCCCGCCCCGATCAAAGCAATTTATTGTGCGGTAAAAGTAATCCGCATGATGTTATGTTGAGGGGGATGGGTAAAGGGCTATTTGATTAGTGGACTAGATTACTAGTTAATATTAAGTTTAATAATAATGAGGTTTTTTTGAAATTTAAAGGCGTTTATACCTAAAATTTTTTAAATTGAAAACTTTTTTTATATCTAAGATAAAATTTTGTATTTTACGTGCCATTTTTAACTAAAAAATCATTTTTCAACTAACAAGTTTCCCAAAAACAATATTCACCTCAAACTATAGTAGACAACACCATAGCTACCCCACTTTCCAACTTTAGTGTCAACAAATTACAGTGGTCTAAAGTCGTTGCCTTCGGGTTTAACAAGCCGCTTTCAGACGCCTCAATTGATTAACGTTAATGTCAAAGCACTTAATGTTTACAACGAAACCTAACTCCTAATTCTACATAAATCTCCCCCCCCCCATTAAGCGACGATTACGGTCTCATGCACATCGCGACGTTTTCGGTTTCTAATAGGAGCATGGCCTCTTCTGATGTTAAAAGGGGGTAGGAAGGCACCTTGTATTGTTTGGGGAGGATAGAAAAGCATCTTCTGAAGCTGACGGAGGGTAGACAAGTATATTCTAATTTTTTTGGGAAGGAGGGGCAGAAAGGCCACTTATTGATACCCAAACCATCCCTCCAAGCCCGAATCAACAAACACCGCACCCAATTTGCCTGATGGCGTTAGGGAGGACGGCGGACGTATCCGATGAACAAGGTGTCATCTTTCTCGGCTCTTTTACCTTCCCGACCTATCGTTTTGACCTCAGTTCAAAGCACTTGACTCGTCTTTGCACCACGCTCTCGACAATGACAGTCGATCTATTAGAGTTTACATTGTTTTTGGTAATATACTTCAAGTCGAGGTCGTATCATATTCTCGTGAGCAAAGTTTCATAAGAGTTACGTATCGTATGACTTTTCGGCGTTTCGACGTTTTGAAGGGGGGGGAGGAGAGGGCAAAATCTTTTTTTAAATTTAATTTTTTTTATTTTCAAAAATTTACTTTCAACATATTCACCTTGCCAATCGTATAATGTGCTCCTAAACAACTTCTAACCGGTTTCCTTCAAACCTATGCGCGAAACCCGTCTCAATTACCGTATTTCCGAGCCAATGGGAGTATCGTTTTCCTCGTATCATCGTCTCTTCTCACGCCGTCTCTCCGTCACGCACACTCTCTTCGTGAAGGAAATAGACATGAGAAGAGTCCCCGAATGCATTGAACTGAAAATCTAAATTTCTATTTTTCTGCTCGAGACGCTGAAGTTGCCTCTTCAAAATGCACACTACCTCGCCTGTGTCTACACCGTGTTTACCGATTATCTTCTGAAAGGTCTCTTTAAAGTGCATGATATTTTGTGATTGTCTGCTCACTATCATCTAATGAATTTGAATCACTAAATTTCATGTTATCTTTTGCTTTTTATCATCTTCTAAATACGTCTCTTCAAACTACATGATATCTCTCATTTATCCGCTCCTATCTAACGAATATCTTCTGAATCCGTCTCTCCAAAGGCTGCGATACATTCGAAATGGAAAGGCGATCCCAATACCATATCCCTTTCCACAAACCTTGAGGCGTCTTGTTTGCGGGTATTGAGTAAATGATTACGTTCGGGCTGACTTTTCGTTTCGCTGCGCGGAACAGAGCGACTTAACTTTCTTAATTCGAAATGGAAGCTGAAGAGACGATGAAGGGCTGAGAAGACGATAGGGATGGGTTGGGGGAACTATGATCAAGTGTTTGGGAGCAAAATTTGGGGCAGAATATAGGTTTAGGAACGTTGGTTTTAGATAGTTTACTTTAAGGTATATAAAGGAGGTTCAAGGCTTAGTAACGGCGTTTAAATTTCGCATATAAGGTTTTATAAAATATATTTTTAAAAGCTTGAAGTAAAAGATATTAACCATGCTAAATAACCAAACGTAGCCTAAGAGTTTACTGTGTAAAGCTATAAAGAATACAGTAAAGTAGCTACTGAAGAACAGCCTAAAGCATTGTTAAAAAGGTTCAGCCGACAGTTTCCAGACGATGGTCGCATTGTTATGACAGCGCTCAACCGTGTCTGCTAATCATAACATGCGATTCATGGTTGGCGTAACTGAGAGGCTATTATGTACAGTTTACTGTATTATTTTCGGGTCAACTTTTGATTTGTGGTTTTAGTGGATTTAGAAAAACAGTAGTTAGTATTGTTTTGGCTGGGGTTTCGTGCTGGAAAATATTTTTTTTAGTTTTTTATTAAATTATTGGCTTTGAAATTTTAAAATTTGATAATTTGGGTTTAGTAATGTATTTTAAATTTTACTTTACACTACACTTTTGTGTTACATTGTTTAATATCATCTTTGCATTATCATGTATCATATTTTATATTATCCTTCTAAGCTTCCCTTCAAACCCATTTTAAATCATCTCAACTTGAGTCCAAGCTCTTTATTTGTCCAGAACAATGTCCCAGTAGGAATGACATAAGCCCAGTTTCTCTAATTTCTCGATGAGAACCAGCCAATTTGTCATTAGCAAAGTCATTTAAAGCCTCCCCCCTATTGAGTAGCTGGGGGAACGATTAGGGGATGTCGTTTAAAATCCCAAAAACAAAAAGTTCAATCGAGGCCATGTGCAATTATGGCGCTCAGCATGCTATACGTATTATGTATTGTTGTATGTGAAAGCGGTGGAGTAAGTTGTCGTATGTGAAAGCGGGGCTGGGTATTGTGGTATGTGAAGGTAGAGTAGGTGTTGAATGTACAGCATAAGAAGCTGTATATTATCGTATTTAAAGGTGATATAACTTGGTTTTTGCTAAACTAATTACAATATTTTAATTGTAAAATCAGTGAAGATCATATGCAATAGCAACATATCTGTTGAAGGACAAAAGCAAAATATGTTGTGGTAGGCCACACAATAATCGTATCTAGATATTACCAGCACAGCATGACGCTTTGGCGGTGAGAACGGCGCTAACCGGCTCATCAGGGGGCCTAGCCTCAGGGCCGCTACGGCTTTATGATCCAATTACAGCGATATTACACACTGTTGCTTGCTGTGAAGACAAATGGGCAATTATCGTTGCTTTTGGATTGTTTTAGGTTCTTGGGAAGGTTTAATTGTGTTTTTCAATTCATGTTTAAAATAATTTAAAATTTTTTTTAAAAATTTTTTGTTTTACTGTGTATTTTAAACGTTGTATAAGAACTGCTTGTAACTGAGTATTTGACAGCTCTTTAAAATGCGAAAACTCTTTTATTTTTCCCTCTACTACAAGATTCTTACACTAAACACATTCCTTTAAAGACACATCTTCCCACTTCTCCAGCACATTTCCCCAAATACGATAGCACGATACTTGGCGTCTCGTTACTACGGTATGTGTGAGCCATTCACCGTGCTTGTTGTCGACGCCTCTCCGCGGAAGTCATCCGCCTCGCAACGGCCGCCCTTTTTCGGTATCAACGCTTCCTTAGGGCCGCGAGCAAATGAAACGAGTGGCGGGGGAAAGGCTCCGCCTTCCGCCACAGATTCCTTCCCCAGCATGATCGCACACACACAACGAAACCGAGAAAAGGGCCCCATCTCGAGGGTCTCGACGAAGGGAGATGCTCTCGATCTCTTGCGCCAATAAGCGCGTTAAACGTTTGTCAGGGCGGTCATACCACGGGGGGGGAAGTAGGGGTGGAGCGGAAGAATCTGTAACCAATAAGAAGTCATGAAACTGTAACCGATATTAGAAACCGCATTCACTTTTGTCTACATTGTTCTACAGAAGGGGGGTTTTTTGGTTTTAAGAGGGTTTCGGGGGTTATGACAAGGCTTGGGTTGGCGAAAATAGTATTATATGTTAGAGACTAGACTTGTTATATAGAAATTTTATACAGATCTGTGCGTAACATACCAAAATCGATACTATATCGCTTTAAAAAGCTTTTTGCTTCAAGTCTATACTACATTATATAGCGACAAAGTACTATAATCTCTACAACATTACTTTAATCACGTTATACCCACCTTGCCCAATGTCAACACATCCTTCTCATGTTGAAGACCTTGACATTTTGTGGTTATAAATCCTCCGAATCATTTTGTGTCAATCTACTGCCTTGTAAGTTAGTCAAGCGTATGTATCGTCGTCTTCGCGCAAGTAATATAAATTACCATTACATTTGTTATACTACCTTTATATTCCGATCCTACTATTTTATCTTTACTCAAACTAGCCTTTTTGCTTTATTTTAAAATTTTTAAAAATATGAAAAATATTTTTAAGAAGGGCGTGGGGGCGGGGTACTAAAGTTTAGCTAACGATTGATTTACAGAACAGCCAGAAGATTAAAAATTTATTTTAAAATGGCAAAAACTATTTTTTTATATCTTAAGGTCAACTAAAAGTAGCGGTACACTTTCAAGTTGAAAAATAAATGAAAAGTGTCCCGCTACTTTTGGTTCAACATAATATTTTCAAACAAAATATAGTATAATATAGCTAAATAAACACCAAAATTTGTGCGGAAAGACTGTTTTCACGCTACATTCCCTAAACGATCAAGCTTTGTTTTCAGTTTGTGTTACGTATCAAAGCAACAATCGCTTATCTTAATTACTTGTAGATCTAAACAAAGCCTTAACTCAAAAAGTGTTGAGACTAAATGGCTTTTAACAATTTTCACAGTTTTTATATTACATATGATGTTTACAATCTTAATACTATCTTTATGAAGTAATATACATGACATACAAACATAAATAACCAGTTGACGCCTTAATTACTTGTGGATTTCAAAAGCGTCAACACTTCAGGTCTAAAAGTGTTGGGATAAAGCTCTGTTTTTGAAGCTTTAACCTTAAGTTTTTAATTTGTTTTAGGTTGATATTAGCATAAACTGCCATTTGATAGCTTTACAACCTTTTCAGGTTCTCAACATTCTTCTTAAAAGTTTTATATTATAGTAGACGTTTTTTGACTTTTTAAGTTTTTTTTGTTGTTTTGTTATAATTTTCTGAAATATTTCTGAAATAGCTTTATATATCACCTTATGTTTCACTTTTGGTCCTTTTTAAAAGTATCTACTAGTATTATTGACTTTTTCAATAATACCAAATTTCAAAAATTTTCTTTTTTTTATTAGCACTGTAAACTACTATGTTGTTTAAATAATTCTGTGCTTCTTTCGAAGCAAATTTTCTAGAAGCACAGAAATGTTTAAACAGTCTCATACAAAAGTTGCAAGTACTAACTAAAACTTTGCTTATCAAGCAATGTAGAAACATACTGTAGCACTAATGTACCAGTCACAATTACTAGCTATATCTTACTGTGCTCCAAATAGCATAGTTACCCTAGCACTACTGCCCCATACAAGTACCAGCTACCTAATACCGTACCCCAGTCGCATCCGCCTCGAATATTGACGCCGGATTCGAAAATCTTGGCGTCAGAATCGTTTCCGGCCTTTCTTTATGCATTGTTTGATGCCATACCTCAGGGGAATGCAGGAACAAGGGCTTTTGTTCACGTAGGGTTCCGGCACCTCCACTACTACCATGTCCGTTGTTATGTCAATTAACTGACCGCCGTATCCTCCCGCGGACATTATTCGCTCATAAACGGTTGGGAGGGGCGGGGCCTTGGCTCAAGCTGCGGGGGGTTTTGGACTGGGAATCTGACCCTTCTCAACACTATATCAGGTTTTGCATGATCCGGATATTGTGCTGGGAGTGTGCTGGGATTGGGCATGGTTTATGATAAGTTGTAAATTGGTTTTTACATTTTGGGGGTGGTTTTACATAAAGTTTTGTGTCTTTTGTAGTTATTTGAAGATTTTTATGCTTAGTTGAACATTTATAAGTTACAGTATAACTTTTTAATACTAATATTATAGTTTTCGTTACAGTAGTATTGAATTCAATAGTATATACAACTTTTTATATTTTTTACACTATGTAATATATCATTATACCGATACTTTACTACCGTTTCAACGTATTACTTTTCACAAAGTTTACATTCCAACAATATATATTACTTTACCCTTTCAGTCATGGAAAACTTCCCCATGATGATGTACCAACAGTTGATGGCTATGGCCGCGGCTCAACAACCTCCATCAGCCTCGACCGGTTCAAACTCAAATGGCTCAAATTCTGGAGCCGCGTCTCCACCGTGCTCCGTTCACTCAGACAACGGATCTCCAGAATCGACGGAAGGCAGTCTGAACAATAATCAGACCACAGCCATGGCCAACATGCAGGAGTTGCTAAAGTCTTTCCAACAACCTGGCCACATGTTTCCATTCCCTTTTGGCTTCAACAATCCCGCCGTCAACGCGAAACCAGCCATGCCAATGCTTTTCAATCAGAGCCCGATGTTGAACAGTGAACAAGTAAGTAGTTTAGAGAGGTTTTGAGGAAAAGAAGTATTGTAAAAGGGTTTTTGATAGCATATCAGGTATTGTAAAGTAAGGTTTTTCATATTATAGTAGCTAGAGCGTAATATTATAGTACAGAAAGTTTGCGTTTTTTATGTTGTAGTAGATAGAGTGTGATGTTATCGTAGAGAAACTGTAATTACAGCTGGTACACTATAGTATTTTATGTTATAGTAGTTAAACGTTTACATTGCAGTAGGGAAACTGTAACTATATTTCAAAAAGTAGCTAACGAACTAGGATTTTTGATATTATAGTAGATGAGATGCTATCGTAGTACAAATAAAAGTTATCGTAACGCAAAAAATTTTAAATTTTAATTTTGCACTTAATGTCACAAGCATTAGCACCGTCTTTATTACCGTTTTCCCTAACGTTCCTAATCTTTGATGTCCTTTCAATCCTACAATACGAATATAGCCGGCGGTGTCACTTCCAACTGCCACTTCGAATATCCAGCTCTTCACGTACTGCCGCCCATAGTCATGCCCTCCTCATCCGGTGTGCGTTGATCTGATGTTCCTGAAACGTGCATTCAGGTTTCTTTTCTTAATCTGGTATAATAATTTCCTCAGGACGTCACCTCACGTTGAACAGATTAGGCCCGACCACTTCCGCGTTTACTTGTTTTCTCAAGTTTCTACAATTTACTAGATGGTATTTTAGGCGGGATTAACTGTATAATGTGACATGTTTTTGTGGTATCTTGATGATAACATGGGTTTCTTGTGTTATGTTTGGTTGGTAAGGGTTGACGTTGATTTTGGTTTGTAATAATGAGCAGAAACGCCCAAAAATTTTTTTTATTTTGATATTTAGGTAACAGTCTTGGCGTCTTATTCTGATATTTAGGTAACAGTTAAGTCTTGGCGTCAATTTATAAGGTTTATAACAAGAACGAACGTCAGAACTTTTTTTTTACGTTTTTCTGTTATGTTTAGATGTTAAAGTAGGTTTCAAGCTAAAAAATTTTTTAATTTTTTAAATTTGAAAAAAAAAATTAAAATCCCAGTAAAGTTTAAAAAAAAAAACATGTTTTATCTTCTTAAATGTCATCTTTTTTATTAACTTGCTTCTCCTTTACATAAATATTATCTTACACATCATTCCTCTCAAAAACCTCACGTTACTCACCCTTAACATAGTAAAAGTTGCTACAATTGAATTTGTGAAAACATGGCTTCAATAGCAGTTAAAGAGCACAATCTCGGCATATCATCTAATAAAGTGCGCGAGAGTGCAGCCATGACACCCTGAGGGGGCCTCGACTTGCCATCAATTAGGTTTGTTATCCAGCTCGTTTTCGTGCTCTTGCTTCGACAACTCCTCAACATTCTTCATCTTATATCTATATCCGAGTAGGACCTGTGTAGTCTTGGCTATCATATAAAACTATAAAACTTTGGTTCTGACATTTTACTTTAGTCTACTGTACTATACTAGAAGCTACTATAATATTATACTACCTAAAATCCTACTTCAATTATTTTTTGATATTTTTAACTTAACAATATTGATTAAAAAAACTATATTAAACATGGTGAAAAACCATTTCCTTCCAAACATGTCCGCTACAACTCTGCCTAAGTTACAGGTGATCAAGCGGATCGAGCGATTGGACGAGGAGAACAACGTCGAGGGTCTAATGAAGTTTGTCAAGGAGCTGAGCCAAGAGACCATCCTCGCCATCTGTAGGCACGAAAGCTTTCTGCGAGCACGAGCCATAGTACTGTTTCATCGAGGAGAGTATCAGGAAATGTACAGCCTGTTGGAGAGTCATCAGTTTGGAGCCGGCAGTCATCAGAAGCTTCAAGCATTGTGGCAAGAAGCACGATACCGCGAGGCTGAGAGGGTGCGACAACGGTAAGGAAATTGATTTTTTATTGATTGGGGTTTAAGGCAAAAGTTGCTATTATCTTTTTACTGTGCTAAAAGTAGTATTTATATTAACATTTAGTAATATTTTGATCAAAAAATCGGCAAAAAAAACTTTTTTATACCTAAATTTTTGCATTTTCTATTTTTTCTTCAAAAAACTAAAGAAAAATAATGTTTCTGAGTACAAAAACACATTCAAAATACTAAAAATTTATTTTTATTTCACTAAAATACTATTTTCAGGCCCCTCGGCCCCGTGGACAAATACCGCGTTCGGAAGAAGTATCCTTTGCCTAAAACAATATGGGATGGTGAACAAAAGACCCACTGCTTCAAGGAGAGAACGCGCAGCACGTTGAGGGAACATTACCTGAAGGATCCCTATCCAAATCCTCAAATGAAAAAGGAATTGGCAACAAAGACTGGTCTTTCGCCGATGCAGGTCGGGAACTGGTTCAAGAACCGACGTCAACGTGATCGTGCGGCTCATATGAAGAACCAGTAAGTCTTTTAAGTTGAAATTCGAGTTGAGATTTTAAAATTTGATGTAAAGGATTCAAATTAGGCTTAAAATTGAGGTATTCAAGCCGAAGTGAAAAAATGTTACCTAAAATTTTCGAATTTTAAAATTTTTTAAATTTTGTAAAGCTTTTTAAGCCTAATCATCGAAAAAATCTTTTTATTTCACTTCGTATGCCAAAAGTGCATTCGTTATCTCGATGTCATACGGTCCTTTCGCTTCTCGAGACATGAAAGAAATCATAATATACATATCGCACTGTAGCGTGTAATAGGTTGACCGGATTACCTTTATGGGGCGAACCGGATGTTAATGAAAGGGCCGCTCCCCTCCAATATGTTCGGCTGATTTGTAACGCTACATTTGACTTTGGGGGGATTGGGCGCTTCCATTTGCATAAACACAGCCTGTTATTAAGCCCTAATTGGCCGGCTTGATTATGAATTTGTGGCAGTAAATTAAGTGGCATTAAATTGAAGGGCTGAGGAAGATTGCTTAAGGGCTTTTGCTGCTTTGTAGGTTGAGTAATGAGTAGTTTTGTATGTTGAGTAAGTTGTTTTGTAGCAAAATAAGGCGATAAGAAGTGTTTTTGTTCTATTTTGAGGTTTATTTTGAGCACAGTTTTATTTTTATTTTACTTTAAGTTTATTCCTATAGACTAAAACACTTTTTACTTTAACATCTTCTACTAGCTTCCATAACACCTTATATAAAGCTCAACAAAACCTGTAATCTTCACCCAGACTCATACTTTAGCCACCATTATGCCCCATTGTTTGTAGACCACCAGGCTTATGTCGTGTCTCACTTCGCGGCTAATTACAAACATTAGGTATGAGGAATTATAATCGCGACTTGTTCAAGTATTATGTGGCTTAATCGACAATGGGTTTTGAGTGAGGGGTGCGCGAACAATTAATTTGTTTGTGTAAAGGGCTACCGATCAATTTTATACCGTAGTATTTTCGAAGCGCAAACAAATATCGGCTTAGGGCCAAGAGTGCTCTTGTCATAATCACAATCTGCGCATAATCGTCGCCTGCGGCTATTAAGGAGGGGGGGGGGAGGAGGGAGTCTAATGAAAGAATGAACGGCCGAGGTCAAGGTGGTAGTCGCTATAGTAGTTTTGATGGAATTAAGAGTACAAAATATTGATTTAAGTACAACTCATATCATAAATAGTAAAAAACACATGTTTTAAACGGTCATAAAAAGTCTCGTCGCCAATTTACCTTGATTTTCACGCTCAAAAACGACAAGACTTCGCAAATTTAGCTAACCTTGTCTCTTAATAACATGAAAAAGCCTGCCAAATACTATACCTTACACAATACAATGCTTAAATTAAACAAAGTATTATACCGTCAACCTCTTTATACACACCGTAACTCAAATCCTCCTCCAGTATCGCCCGTAAAGCCATGTTCGATAGCAATCGTATTAAAAGCCGTAAGCGGGCCCTTATGCAACATATATTTGTCTTGTGTGTTTGCTCAGGTGCTGAACGATAACCTCATCCCTTTTAAATGACAATTGGTGTGAAATTGCGCACTCGATGCCGCTTTCAGCACGATGCCGCTGCCAAGTGCGATGACCTCAGCTGACAAAGTGTTTTTTCACTGCGCTACCGTAGCAACAACACGATGATGTAAGAGAGGCGTAATGCAACAATTCCTAATCTTACACATCTGGAGAGGAGGGCGCGGTAGGAAACCAATTAGCGAAGAAGCGCTAATTCAGTTACTCTGTAAATACACTTAGTTAAACGGCTTTATTTGCATATAGTACGGGCGTTAAGCCGTTTAAAAACAATAACAAATCCGAAACATTTGCTGGGGTACAAAGGCAAAGTTGTGTAATGACGAAAGATAGGATTTTACATTTAAAAATATTCAAAAACTTTAAAAAATTAAGATATTGGAATTGCAAAAAAATTTTAAAAAAATACAAAATTCATCAAGTTACAGTAGTCCAATACTCTAACAATCCCATTTCAGGCAAAATGGCATCTTATTGGACCCAAACACCAGAATGCAAAGCCCAGACTCTTCCCATTCTGATATGGAAATGACACTAGAAGACGGCCAATCAACGTCGCTACTCCGGGGCTCGCCAAGCACCGATTCCGATGATAATAACACATCGGCCAACTCCGTGAAGTCGCCCACGATGATGTTCGCCAACTTTATGAATCCAATGAACCCATCCCTATTGCCACCGTTGTCTGCACCCTTCCAGTTCAGCCCCAACAACAACACCAACATGATGGAGGTGTGGAGCACCTTCTTCCAGAACCCCCTCTTCAAACAGTTCCAGATGAACTTCCTGGCGAATCAGCAGAAGCTGCTACAGAAGGAGATGACGATGCAGAAGGAAGAGCCGAAGGAAGCCAAGGCCGAAGCCCAAGCGACGCCGAAACGCTCCAAGCTGTGCATCGACGAGTTGCTGAAACAGAAGGAGATGGAGAGTGAGGAGAAGCCCACCGACACTTCCGGCTCGGGAGCTTCAGGACATGGAGAAGAAGAGGAGCTTTAGATGGGGTCAAGCTTTACAATCTCGGTTTCAGAGAATATATAGTCTTATAAGATTGATACTATTTTGAAAAAATTAAGAGCATGGTATGATTGTGTTGTTATACGGTAACTGTTATATGACTATATTGACATATAACAGTTGTATGGCTATAGTAACATCTGATTTTAAAATGTACTTGTCTTGGTATCTTTATATGTTGTCTTTTATTAAATTGAAATTAACTGTATTGTACTTGAATACGGTAACATTTTAGTTACAGTAAAGCGTTACAAAAGGAAATTTTAAATGTTTGAAAAATTTAAATATTTTGAATTTAAATTTAAAATTTTTTGAAATTTCAACTTTTTCAAAAATTTTAATTTGCATTGGCCCTTAGCCTTTTGTAACTCGATTTCTAGTCCGACAAGTCTACCTTGTTGCTCTCATAACGGGATATTGGTTTAGCCCGGCTCATCACTTAGTCCCTCTCTTCTCTCTCACTTAATCTACTATAATATAGGTGTTGTGATTGTGCCAGTCATGTGTCAATCGTGTATTTGTTATTTTGTAAAAATTTATATTGTTTTAATAACGTGCGCTAATAAACGTAATACCGTACCAGGCGTTTTGGGTACTGTAACGTAGCTTTTCTATTTTTTTATAAAAGGGTGTGGATGTAAAACTTATCTATTTATATAAAGGAAAGGGATAGGGAAGAAAAAGAGATATAAAAATAATTGGGCTAATTGTTCAAATAATTATGTGCCCCCTCTCAAAGCAAACTTGCGGTGTTAGGAGAACAGAATTACTTAAACAACAAAACTTTTTAAAAATTTAAACCAAAAAACAACACTTAAAAAGCTTAGTATAAACCCCCAGAAGAAGTATCCCTTTTTCTCAAAATCACCCCATCCCCCACATCCTTTCAACAACCTTTTACAATAACCAAACTACAAAACTACAGGTATATTACCGACCCGTCCAATACATTAACTACTACTTAAGGTGTCTAATGAAGTAATATAATGTTAGTAAACAGTCTTACGGTATCTTGAAAAACTTTATGGACAAGGTCATCGCCTGAAACGATTCCTAATTAACGGTGACTTCACCGTAACAGGTCTGGTCTTGACTTCTTGTTCGCTCTCGATTAGAGTCAATTAACCCGTTAATGGGTCTCTTTCTCGAGAGTAAGGGCATCTGACTGACAATATCAATATTGCCTTCCCTAGGTGAAGATTCAAGCCAATAAACGCGACTTTAATCGTAAAATAGAGCGTAGATGTAGTAAAGGAAGTATTAGAAAATTATGTATTCATTTATGAAAAGTTACAAATTTAAGATAAAGACAGTAGGGTCAAGCTACATAACAAAAAGAAGTAATACCAACTAAAACGTGAACAAACTGTAAGGGAGAGCCGGCTAATTATCAAAGTAATAAAATTTTTGATAAGCCATAGCATGCGAATGCACAATCCAAAAAAAGCTCAGCAATTGTTAAAGGGCGAACAAGAAATCAAACTTTATAAAAAAGGTAAGATACCATATTAAACATGAAATACTATATAAAGGAAAAACCAAATTACCAAAGTGATAACAGAAAAAATAGACATAGCTTAGCTTATTTTGATATCACATAAACTTAAATTTAGCCACATATGTTTTGCATGGCTATTTCATGCGTTACATTATATATTCAGTTTGGTCCCGTCACGAAATTGCTAGTCAACAGTAGTTCTATTTTTAAAAAAGAATTTTCTCCGAAAAATTATTTTTTTAACAGACATCTGTTTCTTTACAGAATGATGATGCAAATTATAATCCATGATTTCGTCGTCATCTCATGAATGCGTGCAATAATGAGCCTTACAAGATATACTTCCCGTACAATGTGAATTTTGTTCACGAATCGAAGAAGGTTTTCGTGAATTACGTTTTAGACATCTCAGTTTACGATGGATATGTTTATACTGGGAGTTATTTGATTAATGTCGTTGTTTCAAACTGTTTCATATCGCTTTATTATGTTTTATAATAAGTTGCTGCAAGGTTTGGTTAATTTTTTTTATATGGCGGTAGGTGAATCATTCCGATGCTGCGAGGAATGTCAAGCTTTATAAGAAAGCAATTTTCATTGTACTACATTACTCAAGTTAATAAGCTTTTTTGAAATTCGAAAATATTTTGGTAAAAACTTTATTTTTTAAGATGAAAAAGCTGTTTTTCAACGTCAAAATTCATATGCCGTATTTTACAAGTCTTGTTCTAATAAAAAAATTGTCAGGTTAATCAGATAGACTAACGGAAAGTTTACCTAAAATGCTCTAAGATGATATACAGGTAAGAAAGGTGCAAGCATTTACAATGTATAAGACTACTTTAACATGAAAAATCATAACGTTTTCTTTACATTAAGCTTACAAGTATAGTGCCTGAGCTGCCCCACTTAGAACCAGTACCCATAAATAATGTTAGCTTGCGCTTTTAACTTTAAAATGAAAATATTTGAGCTGGTGCCGATTTTTCAAAATTGGCATTGTGTTGCAAGCCTTTTTTAATGTTCCAGGTAAGATAAGCTTACAAATTTAAAATCCTAGGTTGATTTCAAGGTTTTCTACTAGTATACCAAAGAAAAAAGGTTAAAAGTCAAAAAAGACAAGTTATAAGTTTGAAACACAATTTCAATTTGGCGGGAAATTCAAAACTTAATTTTTTGATATTGTTGTTTCTCGAGATACCAAACAGCGCGATTTGTATGTATTATGATTGTCTTAGGGTTCATTTTGATTTATCTATTTGTTTTAGTCGGCTATTTTATATTTATGGTTCTATTTTGATTTTCTAGGGGACCGTATTTTACCGTATTTAAAGATTCTTGATAGCCGTTTAGTCAGAAGCAATTTAAGTTTTAGTAGTATTTTACCATAAAAAAGGCAATTTTTGATATTTACTTTTTTTTATAATATTGTGTAATACTCGTAACGAATATTGTTTTAGGTTCACACAGAAAATCTTGTTGTGTTAAAAGATCCTGCTGCATCTCAGAATAGAAACTTCAAGATATTGGATGATGTGAAGAACGAGAAACAAGAACAATTATCACCAGGAAAAGCCTTATGAGAAAAACATTGGGTAACTTTGCAAATACTCCGGCAATTGGGCGACTTCAAAAGAGAAAAAGGTCTGCTCTATCGGATATGATGAACATGAAGCATATGAAGATACTGAAAGAGGTGGATTTTTCACTATTTTTTCAATGTTAGCAGTTTAAAGTTTTGTAAAAAAAGTTATATTATTTTGCGTTACGCATGTTTTCATAATTATCTCAAATTTCTGAGTCGTTCTTGATCAAAGTCGTTAGCTTGGACCAAGGATCTTCCAGTTGTGCTTTCTGAATCCCTGAAACCTGTAAAACCAAAATTTGAAAAAAAAATTATTTACTTTCACAGGCTGCACGCAAAAAAACGGCCAATTTTATCAGCGTGCGCCCAATTCAACGTGTATTGAAACCTCAAAATTAAAAAAAACATTTTTTTTTGAAAACTTTTGTGAGACGGTTCGTTTATTGTGTTAACTATGCAAGGTATGTTATTATTATTATTTTACCATTAAATTGAACTGATTTTTTATGATATTGTCTACACAACCTATTCTGATAATATTTATATTGTTTTTTGTTTTTAGCTGTACCTGGAGAATCTTCTCTCGTGGCAAAGCTGCGTGAAGAAAACAAGGCGTTGAGGAAGGAGAACAGGGAGCTGAGGAAGCGGATTCGAACGGTCGAGGAGCAGCGTAGGATCAATTTGCTGGTACACGACAAGTTGTTGGTATGTTTAATCTGTTTTTTTTAAGTTTTCTGTTGTTTAGTTCACTGGTACGGATAATTCATTAGTTTTTGATATGAAAGTGTCACAAATTTACGTTCTTACAAGGAAAGTACCTGCCCCGCTGTGATTGAGTTTTAATTTTTTGATAGAAAGATCATGTAAATATAAAACATTCAGCAAAGTAGTGGATTGTGTTTTCCAGCAAATCTTGAGAAAATCGAAATCAAAAAATTACGTTTTGAATTTCTTGCCAATTTGGCATTGTGTTTCAAGCTTGTAACTTTGCAATTTTTTTTTACTTTTAGCAAATTTTCTTTGATATACTAGTAGTATACCTTTAAATGAACCTAAGTTTGTAAGTGTAGCTTGGCTGGAAAATCGAAAAAAGTGCTTGAAACACAATGGCAAATTGGCGGGAAACCAAAATATTTCAAATATAAAACTCAAAAGCGCGAGCTAAAGTTTTTTATGGGTACTATTGGTAGTACAAGGAATTCATATTAAAATTTTGAGCTGATTCAGAACGGAGAAGGTAGGGTATTTTTAATTTTTTTGGTTAATTTACAAGGAAAGTGCCAGACCCCGCTCTGATTGACTTCAAACTTTTTATATAGAAAGAGCATGTAAATATAGGATCTTCAGCAAAGTACTAAATCGCGCTTTCCAGGAAATCACGAGAAAATCGAGATTAAAAAATGACATTTTGAATTACCCACCAACTTGGCATTGTGTTTCAAGCTTATAAATTTGTCATTTTTTGACTATTAATCTTTTATCTTTGATATACTAGTAGAATACCTTTAAATGAACCTAAATTTTTAAATTTACTAAAACCAAATTGGCGAAACCGGGGGCGTCGCTACGGTTTTTTTCTGGGGGAGGGGGGGGAAGGGAGTTAGTCACCCCGAACCACCCCCCCCCCTCCCCCCCCCCAAACGACGTCCCTGCGGGAAACCCAAATAATTAAAATTTAAAACTCAAGAGCGCGAGCTAAAATTTTTTATGAGTACCATTGGTGGTACAAAGAATTCATATAAAAATTTTGAACTATTTTTGAGCGGGGCAGGTAGGGTACTTTCCTTGTTAGTTGTATTATAGTACTAGGTGGTAATACAGTTTATAAATTATTATTGTTTTAATATGTTTTAGTGCTAAATAGTAGTAAATTTTAAATTGGTACTGTTTTATATTTTTTGGTACTAAAAGCCCAAAATGGTACTGTTACGTTAAAACCGTAATTATATTTTTTGGTGCTAAACGTGTGAATTGCTACAGTTTTATATTTTTTTGGTACTAAGTGATACTGAGAGTATAAAAACAGTACCATTTTAGACTTTTAGTATCTTTTAGCAGCAAAAAATATAAAAACGCATTTGCCCTAGCGTCTTTATTACCTAAAAAGTTAGTTTGCATTTTTTATCTGTAATAAAAAGTTTTGCTATTGATAAAGTCAAAATATTTTTTCATCTATAAATTACGTTATTTTAGCTTGAGACGACCTATATGGTGGGTTTTTCTCAAAAATCCGCCAACTTCTTCGAGCAAATGGCGGACGAGTTTACCCGGCATCAGGAAGAATTGGACGTGCTGTTAGTTTACCAGCTTTTATATTTATATTGTTGCATTTTTTAAAATTAAAGTGATGAAAATTTAATTTTGGCGATTAAAATATTACTTTGTTTTATCACAACGACTATAATCAATTTTTGCAGGAAACACTACTATGAAAACAAATGTAGAATAGCTTTTGAAAATGTCACGCCTAACCTTCTGATGGAGCCAGTTCACGAAAATTTAGAGACAGTGGTCGAAGATGATATCATCAACAAGCTATTGGAAGCAACTGAATGTAAAGAAGAACTCGAAGAAGCCAGGTTGGATTCGGAAATGGTTCACACAGTTGGACAACACGAGAAGCCAGAAAAAACCAGTAATTTAAAAGTTGCCAGCCCCTTGACTTTTTTAACAAGACAGGGTTGTACGAAACCCTCTCCGAAGCGAGTACAAAGACCTAGAGGTATGAATGTTTATGTTATCAATTTGAAAAGAAACAAGGTCTCATATAGCCAAAAAAATTTTATTTGCAAGGGCAAAATTATTAACTGACTTTTTTTTAGTAGCTCCTCCACAGAAGCCAAAAAAAGCTTCTGACCGTGTCGAATCAGGATCACTGAAAAAGACGGTGGATTTTGGAATGTAGTTGGTTAGCGGGTACACAGGACGATTGGGACACCCGAAGGACGTCACAATTTATATCAGTACCTAGTTTATATCGGTTTAAGTTACTATTTATTATTTAGAGAAGGTAAATCACATAACCTTATGTCGTGGGTATTGTAGGCGTTTTATGTAGGATCATCCATTATTGATCCGAATCACATTAAATACCGTATATACGTTTATATAGGTTTATATTTGTTATTGTGGATTGTTTAATGAAAGTAAATCATATAATTTTACGTTGCGGGACTTATATAGCCTAAATTATATATGTTTTTGTTGATGCCATAAGGTTTCTACTTAGGAAATCATTGAAAAAATAATAATTTCGAGTTTCATTTGTACGAAATTTTGCGCCTAACGTGCCCACGCCGTTCAAAGCCTAGTCCACTTCATTTTCCTTCATAGAAGTAGGGGTGAGAAAAGGGCCGGGCCCACTTTTTAGGCCCGGGGCCCAACGTTTAGGCCCGGCCCGTTTTCAATTTTCTCTCAGGCCGACCCGGCCCGGTCAGAAAATTTCTAAGCCCGGCCCGTTTTAAAAAATTTTAAAACTTAAAAAATAAACGGAAATTTGGCTTTGCATTGTTCTTTTAGATCATTTATGTATCATGGTACCCAATAAAATCAAAAAACATCAACGGGGATTAAAATAAAAAATTTTTAAAAATTAAAAAATTTTTTTTTCGGGCCCAATTTTAGCTCAAGGCCGGCCCGGCCCGATCGTAGGGCCGGGCCTAGACGGCCCGTTTCTCACCCCTACATAGAAGAGAAAATTTTCAATGAAAACGCTGATTTTATTATGGACGACTACAAAAGTACATGAGCAGATTGCTGGAGAAGATCAAACAAAAAAAGACAGTACAAAACCTGCTGAATTGTTTTCTCGTTGTGAGAAATTAGTTGTAAACAAATTTTTCAACTGTAAAATATCGAAAATAGAAAAGAATGAGTTCGTTTGGCATCACATAAACATAAATTTAGCCACATACGTTTTGCATGGCTATTTCATGCGTCACATTGTTTACTCGGTTTGGTCCCGTCACGAAATTGCTGGTCAACGGTAATTCTATTTTGAAATGAATTTTCTTCGAAAAATTATTCTTTTCTCCAGTTTTCTGTTTCTCTACATTATCAAGATGCAAAATTACAATCCATGGCTTCGTCGTCATCTCATGAATGTGTGCAATAATGAGCCATACAAGATATATTTCACGTACAATGTTAATTTCGTCAATGTTCACGAATTGAAGAAGGTTTTCGTGAATCGCTTTCACGTTTTAGACATCTCAGTTCACGATGGATATGGTTATGTTGTGAGTTATTTGTTTAATATTGTTGTTTTATGCTTTTATATTGGTTTATTATGTTTTATATTAAGTTACTGAAATTTGTGGTTAATTGATAATATTGTAGTACGTGAATGATTCCGATGCTGCGAGAAAAGTCAACCTTTATAAGAAAGCAATGTCCTACAGAGAAACACCGTTAACAATGGCTGAAGGATTGACTTACAGAGGAAATCACATTGTGTAAGTGAATATTGTGGTTATTTTTTGGATTTTAGGCGGCGTTTCTTATGGAACAATGAGGGTTATTTTCAGGCCAATTACTGATGGTCCATCATCTCATAAGTCTGAAAAGTCCGTGGAAACAGAATTCAATCCCGAAGGTGTTTTGTCAGAATTGGAATCGTTTGATTGGGCAACAATGCAAGTTTTTCTGGTTTCTAAATATTTTTATTGTTTTAGGATTCGATTTTAATTTTTTTATTTCAAGACTTCCAGCTGTCTGTTTTATCTATGACTGTCTTAATTTTCTAGGGGCCTAACTGAGCTGAAATCTCTTGGGAAGAGTCTTCAAGGAATTTTGGTCAATATCCAAAGTGCATACAAGTCAAAACTATGTGTTCGTCCCAACGATCTTCGTGTTTTACCGTATTCAAAAATTCCTGATAGCCCTTTAATCAGGAACAATGTAAGTTTGGCATTATTTTATTATGAAAAGGACAGTTGTTGATATTATTTTTTATAATATTGTGTAATACTTGTAACGAATATTGTTTTAGGTTCACACAGAAAATCTTGTTGTATTAAAAGACCCTGCTGCATCTCAGAATAGAAACTTTAAGATCTTGGATGATGTGAAGAAAGAGAAACAAGAAAAATTATCACCAGGAAAAGCTTTATTGAGAAAAATATTGGGTAACGTTGAAAATACTCCGGAAATTGGTCGATCTCAAAAGAGAAAAAGGGCAGCTCAATCGGATATGACGAACATGAAGCATATGAAGATACTGAAAGAGGTAGATTTTCCACTGTGTTTTTTTAAATCTTATGTTAGTAGGTAGCTTAAAGTTAAGTTATTTTTGATTTAAAACATTGTTAATGTAAGTAGTTTTTTAACCATTTTGAATGACAGCGATTACTCTCTAAATATTTTTTTTTCTTTTTTAGCGTTTGGAGCAGATGTCACCTATTGGAGAGAAGAAGACAAAGAATCCTTTACTAACGTCAACTCCTCAGAACATGTCGTTTGTTAACCAATGATGTTATACATCCTATTTCTAGCGAACTTAGAGTAGTCTAATTAGTATTGTATGTTGTTAACCTTACAGTAGATATTTTGTTGTACTTTAACGTTGTCATTGTTGTTAAACTTTTGTATATACACCTGATTTTATTGCAGACGAAACAAGGCGAAAGGTTGAAAAAGTTTTTTATTTAAAATACGTTACCCCATAATTTAAAAGTCCGAATCCAATAACTACCCTAGTATTCATCCTAATAGATAGTCAGCCGTTTTGTGATTGGTTGGCGGCACATGTGACAGGTCTTGAGGACTTCTTCCGAGGAACAGGTGCGGCAAGCAGTATGACCGCAATCGAAGACCACCTTACATTGTTCTTCCATACAAATTTCACACAAGATGCTGTCCTCCAACAATGATATCTGCTTCTTCAACTCGCATAGGACGTCTGTTACTTCTGAATTAATATCTTCGGTATTGAATATGGAAAAACAAACTTACGACGTCCATCTTGTGTGCATTGCGGGGCTACGTCACCGTGCAAGAGTTCATCGATATCTAAATTATCAAGCTTTTGTTTTAAATATTAAAAAATACAACGTTAAATTTTTCAGAGCTCCATAAGTACAACCTACCATCACGTAAAACACGCATAGATTGTATTTCACTTGAGCAAATCATGCATCTGTCCATTCTTGCAATATCCTGGCTACAATTGGCACAAGCAAAGTAATGTTGGCATGGCAGACAATAGACAACGTTGTTTGGGTCCATTTTCTCCTTACATCTGAAGCAGCTTCTGAATAATGGGGCTGACAGGCTTTTTCGTTCTGGCATTTGAGTCCAGGAGCTGAAAATACAAATACATTATTGTCAGAATCAGAAGTATTATCATTAATATAAACTTGTTTGAAGTGTTGGAATATCGTCTTACTTAACACCTGCTCTAGAACAAGCTGCCATTAAAACCTGAAGTTCTTGTCTTCCGAGTAGATCTAACGGAGTGAATCCATCTGCATTGATGTGCCAAAAATCAGCTCCACAAGTTGAGAAGAAGCAGAGTGTGGCCAGAGGATAATTGCCAAACGAAGCGTTGATCAATGCCATCAATCCCTTAAAAGATCATCTATAATATTATGCAAAGAAAACTAATATTGTTTAACACAAAATTAGTTCGAACATTTTAATAATGCCATTGTAAAACTGACATACCTGATCTTTGCTAGAAACGAGTGATTCGAAAATGTCGTCAGTGTAGGGTTTTCTTCTGTCACATTCGTTCACAAATCTGGCCAACAAATGAACTGGAGTATTCTCGAACAAATCTGCTTGATTCAGTTTGACCGTATCATGACGAGCCAACAATAATTGTATAATACGACAACGTTGATAGTCGTCATCTTCGTTTAGAGCCCAACCTTCAACTGCAAAATGCATGACAGTCTTCTTGGTGCTTGTCTCTATGAATACTCCGTCACAGTCCTAAAACATTTAAGAATGATCTGTTATATGAAAAAATGGAGATTATTCTACACAAGATCAAGTAATAATAGCTATGATATCATTATAAAACGCACCGCAGCAATTCGCTGGAAGATGTTAAAGTTTCCAACTTTGGCAGCGACTTGAGCGATGGATAAGTCAGCATAATGTAGGCCAATCGGACGGTCCCGACCGCTTCTCTTGTCCAAGAACAGATCGACAGCTCTGAAACAATATAACTGTTGTGTACCGTGTTTGCATTCTTCATGGGTAACACAGTCTAGGTAACACTTAGACTTACAACTCCTTTTTCCAAGTAATGGCAGCCTGCAATGGTACCATGTTCTCTCCATTCGTAGCATGTAGCCATGGACCTTGTTTCATAAATAATCTCAAACATGCCAGTCGTTCCTGATCAAAGTCATCCATTTTGATCAAGATATGTAATCCGGTGTTGCCTTCTGAATCTCTGAAAGTTGTGTCGACTTCTGGAATATCCAAAAACTTTGAAATCAGCTCGAAATTCTTCTTTTTGCACAAAATATGGAAGGGAGTGTCTCCTGCCAGATTCGGAGTGTTCAGAAATTCGGTAAGGTAAGGTAGAATCGCCTGTACAACGTGGGTTGATCCGCTGGAATATAAAACAATAGAAAAATTTTTAAATCAAAAATACTTCTCCCCAGCAAGAATAACTTAAATCTAGCTTAAAACAATATAAAATTATATTTGTTACATAATGATTAAGATGCAATTATGCCCAAACCTACGTAGCTGTAGCCACATGAAGCAACGTATTCCCTCTACGGTCCATGACTCGTGTATCAGCTCCGCAAGTAACAAGAATGTTGATCAAGAAGGGAGAGTTCATTTCGATAGCTATAGCCAATGGAACGCCTCCGTTGATCACAGTGTTCACAAAGTCTGGGTCCTTGTTACAAGCTTGAGCGAACATAAAGAAGCTTCGTTCGTTATTCAGATGTACCAGAGTTGATAAGGCAGCCTCTGAACTCAGCTTCTCTCCTTTTGTGCCAAAAATCAAGTCTGTCATCTTGTTTTTGGGCAAATCCGTGGTGTTTTTGGTGGTTTCAAAATACAATCTTGAGTCACGTTCGACTAGCCATGGTTCTTCCGCATCGTAGACAGGAATCATTATGTTCTGGAAAGGTTGGAGAATCAAGTTACAGAAATGTAAACATCAAAAAATCAAGTCAACATAATTTAGAAATTCGGAATAATGAAAAAACGATGCAAAATTCAAAAGCATGAAATTACAATACAGTCAAATCATGAAAAACATCGAAAACACATAATCTTGTAAAGTTTGTCACATTAAAACTTGTAAGAAGACAACTTGCCCTGGTTTGATCTCCAAAAACAATAACATCAGATTGGAATTGTTTCAGCGTACATAGTGCTCCACCTTCTTGTTGGTTTACTACGGAATACGTTGTAGCATTGTTCTAAATATGTGATAGTGTCATACATAATCAGAAAATTTAAAATTTGATTCAAAAGAGTAAATAAAAAGAAAGACAAAACTTGACACGAGACAGCTTTCTTGACCAATTTTTATTTACTTTGAGAAATTAGAATTAAAGAACTCTTACCACAGTTTGGTCAACAACAACGACAAAGTCGAATTCTTTGAACTTTATGATTTCTGGCGCCTTTTTTAGAATGAAATTGGGTACTGTGAAGTCAGTTCCTAACGTTAGTTCTTGTTCTGGCGTTCTAACGAAGAATCTGGTCGTGCTTTTGTAATCTTCCGTTGAGACCACGCATCCAATACACATGTAGAACTGAAATGTGTTGTAGCTCATAAAGAATCATATTTTAAAGATTAATTTTGGCTTACAAACTTTAGAAGGAATATTGCAGTAGGTAAATCAAATTTAAAATAACCTGAATCGAAATTAATACAATTATCCTTATAGAACTCACCTTGAGAATCTTTTCTTTAAAAGGCACGTCCCACATCTTAAAGCCTTCCTTGATCTTGTCCCACATCGTAGCATGAAGGAACACACGATCTCCCACCTGGAAGCATGGTTGTCCAGTATGACCGACATCATTGGCCGATTCTGCTTCAATCTTGTGAGCTTGCTCTTCCACCACTTGATCTACAAGATTCCAATGCTTTAGCGCTTTGTATAAAACATCTTCAACATCCGCTTCTGCTTCCAGGTCACGAACGACCACATCACTCTTGTCTATGAAACCAATTTTCGACATTGCAGTAGTCAATTTCTATTGAGGTATTAACCAAACAGAAATGAGGATTTTATAATGAAAACGTTGCAAAATGAAAAATACACGTTTCAAAATTTAAAAAAGTCAAGAGAAAATTAGAATTTATGCAAATTTATTGTCCAAAATAAAATTAACAAAAAATTAGGAGTCAAAGTTGAAAAGGTTAGGGAAACTCTCGCCGATGAGATCGACCATGTCTTCGTCGCTGAAGTTGGGGAACATCCTCCTGATCTGGTTCCGGAGCTCTGCCTGTGAACTAGTCTTGTCACCAGAATTCATCTGAAGATACCTCTTCTTTGGGAACGTTTTCACCATAACTGGGTCCTTTTTCCTTGAACTGCTTGAAGTTGACGGCCTTGAAGCCAAAGTCGAAGACCTTGAAACTGAAATCGATGATCTGGAAGTTGATGCCATTGATGTGGACATTGAAGGTCTTTGAGTTGAGGTAGAAGGCTTTGTATTTGACGATGAATGCTTTGTTGTTGATGTTGTAGTCTTTGTCTTTGAAGTTGACTTTGGAGTCACATGTGAAGTAGAAGGACCCGCCTTTGGAGCAATGACAACTGTTGATGTTGATGTAGAGGGTGTAGAAGTTGTTGTGAACACACTGACAGAAGTTGATTTATTCGTTGTAGCTGCTTCTGAACTCGTCAAAGTAGTTACACTGGCGTTAGTACTTCCGTTGTTTACACCAGTAGTTATCGTATCTACATTTAAAGCCCCAGAAGTTACAGTATCATTGGAAGTTCCAGAAGCTTGTATAGCTAATCCCTCGTCCAATATAATGGGTGTATCAGAAGTTACATTCGAAATTCCAGGAACATCTGATACTGCAGACGCATTCAAAGTTGAATTCAAAGTTTCTGAAGCTTCTCCGTTTCCAGTATCTGTAGCTGATGTGTTCAAACCATTATCCTTGGTACTCTTCACAACATTACCAGTCTTGAGAGACGTCATTTGAGGTACATTGAACTGAGAAATGCCTTCGTCGGTCGGCAACAAAGGTATCCGCTTCTTCTGTGGTCGATTATTGTGTTTGGCCAAGCGAGGTGGAGTTGGTGGGCGAAGGGTTCGTTTGTACGCTAAAAGTGAGTTTTAAAAAAAATTTAAATTCCAAGTGTCCAGAGGTGTATTACTTGAATAAAAACTACTTTTTCCACAAAAACAAATAAAAACCTACCAGCCGGTTCATTCGGGTCCCGTTGCTTTCTCTTCTTCCTAGGCTTCTTCTGAGGTGCACTAGTCGACGGCTGTTGATCATCAGTAGCTGGTGGAGCCTCGTCATTTTGCAAAGAAATGCCTTCTGGATTCAAAATAGGATTCTTAATTTGAGCTGTAGCCGTTGACGTTTCCGGCGCTTCTGAAGCTGCAGAAGTGCTTGGGCCTGGTTCACCTTGTTCATCAGGTTTATCTTCCTTCTTTTCTTCTTTTTTCGGTGGGAAGAATCGCAAGTGAACGTATTCTACAATAATATTTTCGATAATTAATGTTTTTCTTAACTCTCAGTGTAACAGAAAATAAAGTAATCGCAAAGTACACATTTTAAACGTTAAACCATCCCTTTGTTAACACAAATACTATTCTATAAGATATACCAAAGATCCACCCCCTAACTTACCGCCCCTAAGCTTTGTAGTAATCTTCTCCAGCTCCTCAGCCCTCTCCAAAATGAACTTTAAGTTCTCAGCACCTTCTGATTGTACTTTCTTCAGGTTTCTGTGTTGAACGTCAGTCCTGTCGGTAACTGTTTTAGATCCTCGCTCAGCTTCTGACAACATTACTCTCGTTTTTATCAGAGCTTCTCGTCTAATATCTTTAATCTGCTTTTCCAATGCCTTTATCTTAGTTTCCAGGCCTTTGTTCGTGTTCTTCAGTAGTTCATTATCATGATTTGCTTTTTCCAACGCTTGTTTTGTCTCGTCGTATGCTTTTTGTAGCTCATCGTTAATCTTCTTCAATGATTCATTCTTTTCTTTTGTTTTTGTATCCTCTTCAATAGTTATTACAGTCGGTACATCGTCTCTTCTACTTGAATTCAAACTTGAACCTTTCTTGGTTTTCTTGCTGTTGACTGAAGTTCGAGCTTCTTTGTTTACTGCATTCTTACCATCAGAAGCCGTTTTCGATGGTAATGCTTTACCAATTTCTTTGTAAAGCTGGGAAAACTTCTTTTGGCTTGTTGGGACTTCTGTATCTCCATATTTTCTCGGTCTACCTCTTCTTCTAGGCACAGAATAAGATGTCTCGTCAACAGGATGAAAAATAACTGTTTCAGGAAAAGCAAATTCTTGATCAATCAAAGCATTTGATGCACCATACTTTTTCTTTTTCAACGGAGGAGGTGAGTTTTCTTTCTCCACTTTCTTTGTCACACGAACTTTGGGAATGACTCTAGAAGGCGTGTTCTTGAAGTACTCTTCATCAAGATTGAGATATCCAACTCCTTTCCGTTTATTCCTGGTTTCACCTGGTTGGTGGATCGATTTTGAAGGATTCGAAACAGCTAGTGCCTTTTTTACTTCATTGTTGTTTTTCTTACCCTGTCTTCTCTTCAAGGATGGATACATTTCACCAAAGATGTCCCATTTTTCATCCAAAACACGTCTTTCAAACTTGCGACGAGGCAACGTTGGCCCTACTGTGGCGACGACTTGATCAACAAGGAATCCTACTGTATCCACAACAGAATTTTCTATGCCTGTTACACACACTAAAAATGCAGTATAAAAGCTTAAAATTAAGGGTTCAATATCAACATTTGGAATTTAAGTCTGTCGATACATAAATTAAACTTTACAGTACTAAATACCAAAAAAGTAGTTTAGTTAATTTAATATTAAGATAACTCTTACCACTCTTAAAATTGGGAAATGACTTCTTCGGAAACTGAAATCTTTGATACAGTGAGTATAGTTGTTTATCTTTCTTGTATTTGTCGCCATCATCGCTCTTCCAACTGTTCATAACTGCTTTCGGTAATGATCCCATCCCATCAACTTTCCCTTGATTAGGTTCTTCTGTTTCCTCATGTACATCATCATCATAATCGCTTAAAGCTTCTGCAGGCTCGTAGTAAACACGGTCTCCAAAAGATGATATTGTGTCCTCTATCAATTGATTTATCACCCAAATAACGTCGTTATTTGGTTCACTGTGATCGGAAACTGAAGTAGTACAGATTATATAGTAAATAATGACCAGTAAATTACCAGTGTATTTTACGGTGGTTCAAAATTAATATTTTAATCAAAAAAATGCCTAAAGATAAAAAACGATAAGTTACCGACTAACTTACCGTACATAAAGTCGTTAGTGGCTCGTTCCGGGAACTCAAACACCTCTTTCAGCTTGTCGAATCTTCTCCTTCGGTTTCGATGAAGGATAAGGTTCTTCATCTTTGCTCTTTGTGACATCTTCTTCATTCTCATTGTTTCACGGGACTTTCTGGCTATTTCAATTGCCTTCCTCTTCTTTTTAGTAATTTCACTAGCTACCGACTCATGTAGTTTTGGTGGTAGTCCATTTCTCTTCCGATGTGTTAGTGGCATTCGGAATAAAAGTCTGAAATCACAATTTAAATTTTGTAGTGAATATTATAATGTTCAACAAAAGTTCAAAAACAAGTAATCTCGTTTAAAACGATACGGTAACAACTTTATTTAAACCACCTTGGTCACGTCGAAATCCTCGAAAAGATGGCAAGAAGAAAACAAAATTTATTCTGGGCGCAAACTGCGTTGTTTTGATTGGTCAAAAACAAAAATTTGTAAACAATTTATTTAAAGATAAAGAATATAAATCATGCCTAAATATTAATTATAAAAGTTTAAGAAAGTATTTTGAACTTTATTTAATTAAAATTAGTACATTTTGTATAGTTTCTCTTATTTTTTTTCAAGACATTCCATCGTATAAGAGGTCTCCGTTCTTCGCGCCAAATCGTATTTACCCGCAAAAGTTTTTTTGGAAAAAAATTTTAAATAATTTAATTTTCGAATTTTTAACAAAGTTTTCGAGAAATGTAGAGATGGACCCATTTGGAAACGATTTCGATGCTTCCAAATGTCTACATCAATATAATGTCCCTGAAACATCAAAATTGTTCGGATCTTTCGACGAATGGGAAGAACACTTTATCAAGGAGAACAAGGAGTTTGTAAGCCTGCTATTGGTAAGTTACATTATATTGCTTGTTGTTTTTAGGGTTTCTTTACAAGAAAGGTTACTCCTTTTACATTTATATGTAAACCGTACACATTTAGGTACTATAAAATGAGTTTTGCGTCATTTGAATACAGTATCTTGTTTGTAGGAGTATGATAAACAGTTGGAAAAGTCTTTACGACCAATGGGTATTGGTGTCAACTCTAGAGTACGAAAGTTGAAAGATTATGGGAAACAACTTCTATTAAAGGAATGGGAGGACAAGTTATTGTAAGTTATTTTGTGTTTATTCGTAGTTTAGGTATAAAGGATGACGCTTCTGTCTAAAAAAATAATAAATATCTGAGGGAATAGTGGTTTTTGTTATCCAATTTTAATTAATTATAATGTCAGTCTTGCAGAAAGAAAAACATTTTTCATATACACGGTACCGGGTTTGGTTTGGATACGACTTCGATTACACGTTCGCTACTGAAATGGGCATCTACACGGACTGTAATATCCGTAAAATTGTCGCCTAGTGGACGGGGTCAAAAGGTCGATAGGTTGATCAAGGTAAGTCATCTCTAGTTTTTCGTATGGTAATATATAATACAGCATGTTAAAAAACTTTAAAGGATTTTTTACTTTAGCCAATCATATTTAACTTTAATATTAACCGCAAGTACCATTGAACTTTTGTTTTCAGGGTGTCCTAGTCAGCTATGACAAAAAGTGGAATCTTTTGCTAAAGAACGTTGACGAGATATACCGTTCCATGAAACGACCTCCTCCAGGACCGCCAGAATATGCGTACAAGGAAGTTGCACCATGCATTTTCCATAGGTCTCTAGTGTCTTACCTGGTTATGGGTAAGAACATAGTTTGTATTTACACTTAAACACAACATCTACTTTATTCTGTGAACTTTACAGTTTCATTATCTTAACAGATATCTATTTATATGAAATTACTTCTATTTATACATGAACAATGATCTTACAACCTTTCATTTTATAAGTCACTAATACTTTCAAATCGCATTTACACTGCTTTCATTTACTATCATCCCTTTGATCTTCATATTACTTTACTGTTCTTTCACATTAGCCGGCAATAAACATTCCTCTATCTTCATATCTACAATCAACGTTTTTATTCTATTTTCTTGAAGTTATTAAAACAAGTTCTCGTTACAATAGCTGTAAATAAGGTAGATAAAAATGGGGAAAATAAGGGCAACTCAATAAACTACTGGTCGAATCGCCTAAAGGGACAATATAATACAAGGGACTAACACAAGAAGAGTTTTATTCCAAGTCAGTGAGAATAACATTAGCCTGTTTGTTGCTGTCATCCATCGAGTGCTCCTCCGAGTCCGAAGCGATGCCGAGTTCGCGTTTCGAGCTCTCCACAACTTCGTCGATCACGTGTTTGGCCAGGTCGAGGCCGCCAAACACCGGCGAGTTGTCCAGTTCCGTGTTTCCTTTGAGGTATGAAATTATTGTATTGGTCTCCACTTCACGCACCTCCTTCAGGTATCGGTCCACGTACTCTGAAAAGTGGATCATAAGAATTTTACGTAACAAACGAAGACTTGATCGGAATGTAAAAAAGAAAAAAGTTTAAGCAAAATATAGAATTTTAGGTAACAAAAGTTTTGAAATAATACAAAAACTTGTATTGACTACACAAAAGAAAATCAACTTTAAACTTGAGCTATCACTTCACTTAAAAAATCAATTTAAAACATTGGCCGTTCCTTTGTTACCCAAAACTTCCATTTCTTATTATCTTACCCTTGGCCTTCTCTTTGACCTTCTCCAACCACTCGGCTTCTGCTTTGGCAATTTCCGGGTCGGGTTTCGGAGCGGCGGGCAGGATGACGGCGACCATTGTCATATTGTCACGTGACCCCCGAGTTAAGCAGTAATCTAATACTTGGTTTGTAGCCGCACGCAAGTCGTCGGTGACTGTCAGCCGCGATCTCAACAAAATACACAACTCCTCGTTCTGTAGCACATCGTAGATACCGTCGCACGCCAAAATAAGGAACTCGTCTTCCAGCGGGTTCCGCTTAACAACATACACATCGGGTTCGGGTGATACAAGTTGTTCGGTGGGTGTGAGGCCTGGCACATTCTTATAGTCGTAGTCGCCCAGAGCTCGAGAGACGGCCAAGGAGCCGTTCACTCTTTGGATCATCACAGTTCCGCCAGCGCGAATGATTCTCTCACGTTCAGCTGTTAAGTAAGGCTTGTGGTCGATGGTGGAGAAGACTTCTTCCGTTTTTCTACCCATTAAGCCACGAGAGTCGCCTAAAAAATAATGAATCAGTGCATATTTATTTAAGACGTTATTATGTATATACAGATAAAGTAATTCCAGCTTAAAGTAAAAATGAATACCTAAAAAAAATTCTGAAATTCGTACCTAAATTACAGAAGAAGGCGTATTCGGGCGTCAAGATGGCACAAGTCGCTGTAGTACCACTTTTTTCTTTATATTCTCCCTTCTCGTTGCTCATGTTCTCATCCAGCTTCAAGAAACCCGCTTTGATGCCATCTTTAAGTAATTGTATCGCCTTTTCGGTTACCTTCCCGTTATTTTGCTTCAGCTCAGGTATCAGCTAAACAAGATGAGTTAATAAATGTATGTACAATACAAGCCACAGGTACAAGGGAACACTAAATATCAAAAAATGAAGAAATAAACATAAGACATCCGAAAGACTGGCAAAAACATCAAAAGACTAAAAACGTCCACCTTCATCTCCTTGAAGTCGTCAAACTAAACATAAAACACAAGAATTACACAAAGACTTACTTGTTTGAACTCTTCGGTGTTTAATAAGTAAGACAAAAGATTCTCAGCCGAATGATTAGCCATCCTGCAACCAGCATGACCATCAAACACGGCAAAGAAGGACCAATCTTTAAGTGGATCTTCTTCGGTCATTGCCACTTTAACCTGATGTGCGTCCTCCATGTCGGTTCGCCAGCCTTGCATCGACGCAACGACATAACGATAATCCTGAAAATTATTTGTTATTGTAAAATACTTCTAAATAATTTTGCTTTTGTTAAATTACATGAAAAGTATACATTACGGTCAATTTAAAAGCTTTTAAACCTAATTATTATCAAAATGTTGTGCTCTTGTAATTTGATTTTATGTTTCACATATTTTTTTAACGTATCTTCAATAAAAACCCAAATTTATGTTTAAAATTCAACTAGAAACATGGTCTTTCGACAATATTATCCATTATCAAGCTGTGTTTCGATCGCCTCCAGAAAGACCAAACAAAAGTTACAATTGCGCTTTCATAAACACAAAAAAAGTAATCGGGAAGCATAAGATGAGCCCCTCCACTTACCGGTCCTTCTCCATGATCGTTCGTTTTTTCTGTTTTGGGTTTGTCCAGAAAGGCTCCCATCGAATCGGGACTTCTAAATGAATATGGCCGACTATACCTCCGAAACCTGGTCTTCCCCGATTCTGAAAATAAATTTTGTTATGAAAACCGCAAAATTTCGTCGGCTAAGAAGCCAAACTCGAAAAACGTGCGGAGAAATTGGCAGCGACTCGGAAATGGACGGACTGCAACTATTGATTGCTTTTCGTTTCATGGAATCAAGAGCACTTACCTTTTTGTCTTGTCTTATTGTTTATGCAATACTAATTTCTGTGATTCAGCTTATCATAGCCTGAAATTAAAGAATTAATTATTGAACATTCAGGTTTGGTTTCGACAAAACGTTAATATACAGATAGATAATATAAAGCAAGTTACTAGTGTTCATAAAACTTGCAAATTTCCTTTAAAAATTGTATGAGTAGTCGCTACTTATATTGTTAAGTAATAAAAATGAAAACTTTCTTAAATTTCTATTTTTGAAACAAAAAAACAAGAAATCAGCCTTTGAAAACTTTGAATATTTACTTTTGAAATTCGCGGGTTTTTTGCACGTTATTGCATGTTGTTTTTAGCAAAGTTAAGATTCTTTGATATAGTACAGTTAACAAATAAGTCTACTTGGTTTTTATTTGTTCAATATCTTAAGCCCCAGATATCCTGACAACCAGTAAAACAACCCGATATCACTATTGCTTCTGGGGACAAACTCAAAAATTTTATAAATAAAAAGCTTATACAGTTAAGTAAACTACAAGACCAACATTTCAATCTATAACCTGTTCAAAAACCGAAAATTTTGTTTTTTATGTCAAACCTAATAAACGAATCCATCTTCATGACAATGAATGTCAATGTGACGTTTTGGCCCTCGGATCTTCAACCTCAGCTCTTTAAAAACCACAGAGGCAAATAAATCAGATATTTTTTCAAGAAATGTTTTGGAGGAAAAAAGGGGCCGAAAAGAAGGGCCGAAATGTATATAAGAGAGATGTCACTCCATACTCCGTAGTTCCCACTCCAACTTTTTTTGAAATGCTTAAAACAACGTCGATATAATGCATGATAAATACAATTGCGAATTGAGTGTGAAAGGTGTGGAATATTTTTGAGAAATTAATTGGTATAATGACATGTTATTCTAGCTGTAATACGGTAAATAAACAACAATTTATAGCTTAAGTTCAGTTCCGACACGAAAACGTTCCTTTAAAGAAATGCTCTGGCATTCCGTTATAGGCATAAAATTATGCTTTGTAAAGCGAGTTTTTTGTCTATCGATGTTTACCATGGCTTTTTTTCGTATGTTTTGTGCATTCGTGGTAGTACACTTGCTTATATTGTTATTGATACCAAGTTTATATTTTAGTTAATAAAATGGCTGAATCTTCCAAACGTCGTCAAGCAGTTGATCCTGATGAAGATCTTAAGCACGTGGAGTTTGAGACTTCTGATGGAGTCGAGATCATTCCTACTTTCGATGCTATGGGATTGAACAAGGATCTGCTCAGAGGTATCTATTCTTATGGATTTGAAAAGCCGTCAGCCATCCAACAGAGAGCTATCAAGCAGATTATGAAGGGAAACGACCTCATTGCTCAGTAAGTTAATGTACTATGTTATTTTACCTTGTTTAGGGCTCAATCTGGTACTGGTAAGACAGCGACCTTCTCTATTGGCACCCTTCAGTCAATTGATGTTCAAACTAGGGAAACTCAAGCTTTGATCCTCTCTCCAACCAGAGAATTGGCTACACAGATCCAGAAGGTTATCTTAGCGTTGGGAGACTACATGAATGTCCAATGTCACGCTTGTATTGGAGGTACAAATGTTGGAGAAGACATGAGAAAGCTGGATTATGGTCAACACATCGTTACTGGCACTCCTGGTCGTGTGTTTGATATGATTAGACGCAGAAATCTCCGAACCAGAAGTATAAAGTTGTTGGTGTTGGATGAAGCAGACGAAATGTTAACCAAGGGATTCAAAGAACAATTGTACGATATCTACAGATACTTGCCTCCAGGTGCTCAAGTTGTTTTGTTATCGGCTACACTTCCTCACGATGTCTTGGAAATGACAAGCAAGTTCATGACTGACCCTGTCAGAGTTTTGGTGAAACGGTAAGAATGTTATATTGGTATTTGTGGTATATTTTGTTTTTCATATTGATTTAAACTTTAACGTAAAACTTATAAATGGTTAGTTTCCGTTATTACCTAATTTTCTTAATAATTTAATATTTGTAGTGATGAACTGACATTGGACGGAATTAAGCAGTTCTTCGTTGCCGTCGACCGAGAGGAATGGAAGTTCGACACCTTATCTGACTTGTACGATACCCTAACCATCACTCAAGCTGTAGTGTTCTGTAACACGAGAAGAAAGGTCGACTGGTTGGCCGAGAAGATGCGAGAAGCCAACTTCACCGTATCGTGCATTCATTCAGACATGGAACAGAAGGAACGTGAAGAAGTCATGAAGCAGTTTCGTGCTGGAGAATCTCGAGTACTCATCTCAACTGACGTGTGGGCCCGAGGTCTGGATGTCCCTCAAGTTTCACTTGTTGTCAACTACGATTTGCCTAACAATCGTGAGTTGTACATCCACAGAATCGGCAGATCGGGACGTTATGGACGAAAGGGTGTGGCGATCAACTTTGTTAAACAAGACGACATCAGAATCTTGAGAGATATCGAACAGTACTACTCGACCCAAATCGACGAAATGCCAATGCAAGTGTCTGACTTGATCTGATGTGTTATAACTATAATCAACTATTATATTTTTTATTGCGAACTTAATAAACTTATTGTAATTAGTTCTTTGAGTTGATTATTGAAAGTTGTTTCTAAAAGCAGGTATTTGATTTAGTGATTGGAAGATATTAAGTTAGGGTGTCCGAGACAGGCTTTGATAGGTATTGGGTATGTAAGCATAATGATAGTCAAGTAGTTTATTTACGACTTTTTTTACTCCGTTGCTTCGGGGATGATGACCGTTTGTTCTTGCTTCGTTTCTCTTTCTTCCTCTTCTTTTTCTTCTTGACCTTTTGAAATTCTGATGAGTTGAATAGTATTCCAGTCTTTGGCAGAGGAGGGTGGGTCTCCCTAAAAAAATCAGTACCTTATACTGGAAGTTAAAACGTCAGGCTTCTTCTAAGTAACTCATCACTAATCTAGCACATAACTATAAAAACTAGGGAAACTATGTCAACTTACTTATACAAAAAGTCCCGCACTCGAAGCCAGACTATTTGATTGTTCTCTAGATTGTTGTGTGATGCTCCAATTACCCATAAGGGCATGTTTTTCGACTTGCTGGCTTCGAATAGGGCTTGGCCATGTTCTATCGGTACTAACTCATCTTCAGTCCCATGACATATTAATAATGGTACTTTAATATTGACGACCTGAAATATTTATGCTTGAGGAACCACTTTTACGTTTTTAATGGAACAGGAAGATGAAAGGGTGAAAACTGTCGATTAAAAGTCAAAAATATACTACTAAAACCCCTACCTTCCCCAACGAGTCAAACTTATCAATCCTACATCTCCAATCTGGTGATTTACAAGGTTGGTTTGTTTGGCAACAACAACATCGCTTCCAATACAATGTTCGTATCATAGATGTGGGTGGAGAGAATAACATGACACCAGCTATGTTACTCAGCTTCTGAGCTTGGTTAATTGTGACAGCTGTACCAATACTAGTGCCCCATAAGATAATGTTTTCTTCTGGTACCTTTTCTTCTTTTATTATGTACTAAAAGAAGTTATGGTACTATAATTTACATAAACCTATTTACTTTTTCAATGCCATGCTTTTGTCAGCAATTTTGCCAAAAAAATTATCATATATAGAGAGCTCCCTATATACCTAGAGAGTTAAGCTTACATTATACACCGCATCAATGTCACAAAAAGCATTGCTTTCACTCGGCGATCCTGAACTGATACCATAGCCACTGTAATCGTACGCTACTATGTCACAATTCAAATAGTCGGCAATTTCATGAAGTTTTGGCACACCTATAATAACAAAAGGTTCAAAGAGCAGTGATTTGTAAGATGTAAGATAACTCCTATTACATATTACAAATAACTGCTCTTTATCGTGTTTAGGCTTACCAGTCAAATGATCAGATATATCAGAGCCGTTTGGATGAGAAAAGAGTAATGTGTATCGCGGAGTGTGATGTGGAGATCGTATGATTATTCCTCCTACAAACTGTAAAAATATTATTATATATTGTTCTAAAAGCCAATTTAAAATCAAAAATGTAGTCTTTAACTAATTCCGACTAAACTGCACAGTACAAATTGAAAAACTTAAAATCCTGCACGGTGCAACCTTATTTACTTGAAAATCCCAATTATAAACGACATTATAACTAAAAAAATATCTTCTGAGAAGCTTCTGTTCCAAAAATATGTCAACCATAAAAACTTACAGTATTACTTTTCGTTGGCACCACAAAGCCTTTTATGTTCAATACTTCAGGTAGACATTCGTGTTCAAAGCCAAATCTCCAAACATTGTGATTGAATTCTACAGCTTTTCTATAACAACATTAGTTAAAAACAAATATTCTTTAAGTTTTATATAAAGTTATCTCAAAAACGCCGTAAAACACTATTTTTTCTGACGAAACGAATGTTAAGTTAGGTGAAAGTGAATTAAAACTTCCCAAAATAAAACTTTCTGGTTGGTTTTAAAGTCTGCTATAATCTTGTAATAGCTAAAACAATATACAAGAGCTTCTGACAAAAGCACGGCTTTTAATTTTCAAAATTTCTGTACCGTGATCCCCTCCGTATCTTGACTTCAGCTGTTTGTGCCGCTTGACTACCTGACTTGTTCCTGTCAGAATTGTAAAAAAAGAAGTATTCTCGAGGCGGTGGCCAAAAAGCCAGTTTTAGTAAGGTTGATGTTGGCCATGGTGGACACAAGAACATGTATATTAACCTCCAGATAGAACGGAGAACCTTCTTCAGCACATACGTGACATCACCCCAACATTGACATCGCTTCTCTTCGCACACACATATCATTGGAGGCTTTTTGAACCTAAAATGGCGTTTTATGATAAGTTACAGTATAAAAAACATAAAAAAGTAAATTACAGAATAAACATTGTTGTAAAAACACTGATCTTTCCAGTAAAACACAAAATATGTGTTTGTAGGTACCTACTTGCAGTCCTCAACAAACTTTAGGAACTTCTGGTCCTTTTGCTCCTTCTTCTTGTCAGTCTTAAAAATAAAATCAGGATGACTTTTGAAGCGATTAAAGGCGCGGCATCTTTTAGTATGATTCTTCTTTGATCTGTCAGATACTATTTTAGTATTGTCTGGTTCTAATAGTATTCTTGGCAAAAGCTTGTACTTTGACTCAATCTTCTGCTTCTTCTTCGGTATTAATGGAGCTTTAGATAGTTCGTCGTCCTGAAAATGGCAGTCATTATAAATGGTATTAATCTTCTCCTTTACCTGTGTAACATCCAATTTGTAAAGCGTCGACTGTTCCTTCCTTTTACTAACAAGCCTCATGGAATTGGCTCCAGAAGTCTGTGTTGTGTTTGTATCGTCACTTGTGCTACTATCATCATCATCACCTTGCGTGTCATTGACAGGAATATGAAGACTCACGCTTTGTTGAGTTGCTTGAGATTGATATTGGTTATACTCAGATAAGGCAGGGTGCTGAGTCGACTGCACTTCGGATTTGTTATTCTGTTGAGATTTGTCATTCATCCAACCGGTCTTCGGAGTAAAAAGTTGTAAAAATGAGGTGGGAAGGCGAGCTGACCATTGATTCTACCCTACCCTACTCCACCCATTAATACCCTACTCTTACCCTACCCTACTCTACCCTACCCATAAATATTCCCAACCCTACCGTAACTATAATACACAATGTCATACTGAAAGTACAGTACCTTACCCTATTACTCACACTTTGCACTATTATCAACATAAACAAGATTAATCATCACCATACGTGACATGTTGATATCATCAACGAATCTTTTTTGCACATCCGAACAGGATTATGTTATTCTAGAGATCAAGTGTCGAATATGACGCAACACACGGTAAGCATCGGAATTTGCATTTAAAGCTCTTCCACAACCATTACTCCATGAAACGGGAGCAGTTAACGGTTTTTATTCAATTTATAAATCTTTTTAAAGTAATATGGAACAGCAACGGATCGGAAAGTTCTTTGGGTAAGGTGCTTTTTGTTTTACCTTATGATGTTTTACAATTTCAATTTTGTAAAATACCTTAAGGTTGACGTTATACTGCAACATATTGCTCTCTTATTCATATTTTGTTAAAGTTTACCTTAATTTTTTCAATTTATCTCCAACTTTTTCAACATTTCAAAAACGCTATCTTCAACATGTACGTTGTAGTCTTGTTGATATGTCTACAAGCTACTAAACTATCAATCATTGTACGTTGATTACAAACACCTCAAAGTGTAAAGTGCAGTTCAAACGTGATAAACTGTTTACTATAGTATTGTTTTACATTTTAAACATTACAATCAGCACTGTTTGACATGTTTTTAACAGAAAACTTACAATTACGGCTTATTAAACATCATTTTTTTACTTACAGTTAACTACAGAGTAATTCACGGTAATACAAAAGGTTCTTTACATCATATTGTCCATAAATAGCTATGTCATTAGTTATTTTTAAGTCCAGTTAGCTAAAAATAGCTTCAGACATATAAAATCAACCATATCTTTTTTTAAAGACCCGTATCACACCAATTCATGACCAATTTTATACCTAAAACATGCTCGCTATGGCGAAATCGTTGTACCTACACCGAACTGACCTAACGCTTATTAAGGACCAGAGAACACTTCCCAATTATAGCTAATTAATCCGAAAATAGGTTTTAATAAACAACTGATCGAAGGTGGGGTTTCATATGAACTAATTGCTTGATTACTCCAATTGCGCAACCGTTTACAGCTCTCGCTATTCGAACACTTAACACACCTTAAGTTCCGTTACCATGTGGGCATACACGTAAGTACAGTGGGGGTTGTAGAAGTTGCTAGAGTAAGATTAGTAAATATTTGTATTAACAATTCATTTCTCTTAGTATTAGCTACAATTCTTTAATTTCTTGATTTCACTTTTTTGAAATTTGCCTATTTATTCTGAAACTGCACCGTGCAAAAAAGTTTAAAGGTTAAAAAAATGATTTCCAAATATTCTTACACCTCCCAATAATGTAAAATATCATTGAGAAGCTTCTTCTATAAGATATGCGTTAACTGTCTAAGCGAAACTTGATTTAACGACTTGTAATTGACCTAAAATGCCTTTCTTTAAATTTAAGCCGCACCGTGCAAAAAAATAAGTTATACACAGTGAAAACCATTTTAAACAACGAAAAAGTAATATGCACGATCAATAATACTATGATCTATTCAAAAGTAACATTTTTCTTTGTTATTTGAGCACGAACTTTTCAAAACTTTTTAGAAAGCCAGCACGTTGCAGAAACCAAGAGTTAATACCCCACCGCGCAGATTTTCAGAGAAATTTTGACAAAAATACATTTAATAATAGTAAAAAGAAAATTTACCTATCTTCCTTCTTGGTTTAGGTCTACAACACAATTCCTTTCTTGCTTTACATCTTCCAAAACAAAATTTTGTTTCACGTCTAACAAATTCGTCATTGCTGATGCATTTCCCATAATTTTATAAAAATAAAATCTTTTTTTTTAAATTTTCCTATTCTACTGATCTGAACTGAAGTAAAGACAGCCTTGGAAGGCAGATAACTCCGCCTTCCCTTCATTTTATTCATTTGTCACCTCTTTTCATAAAATTATATTATTCTCACTTGATTCAGCTCTGTTTGAAACCTGAAAATCAACATGGAAGCGTAAGTAAACCTTGATAAGTTGATGTCTTTTGCTATATTTAGTCTTTTCAAGTCAATTATACGATTATTTTGGTGGTTTGTTGCGTTCTAATAGTATAAACTATCAAAAATATGATGTTATACACGATGAATAAACATTTTGATGGAAATGAGTTCATAAGACGTCTTTTCATGGTTTTTAGGCTTGATTTAACGTTTAAAATAAAAGTATTGGTACTGTTAGACTTTTGAGATTTTTGGGTAAAAATTGACAGGTATTTTTGTTACTGTAGTTATTTATTACCTAATTTCAGGGATGCCATATCAGGGCACAAAACCTCGAAGAATAAGCCAGCTTTTGCCAAATCAGGCATGGAACGAGTGACTTATTTAACACAGGTATGTTATGAAAGGTTTTGTTTGTTTTTTGATATCGCTCGGACCTGACTGCTATCAGGTTTGGGCTCGGATATTGTGGTAGACGTGATTTTGTTTGGAAAGACATTATTTTTGGCTTTATTGTGTTCCTTTGTATGTATTTTTAACATAACAAAGAAAAGAACGTATTTTAAGGGACATTCTGATGTTATGTTAGAGACTTCAATAGAAAGTGAAAGTTTTATATTCTTTTGTTATACCAGCATGACGGAATAACAAAAAAGAAAACTTCAACAAGTTTGTGTAATATGATGGTCATTTGTTATCTTTTGGGAATACTTTGTGAGGGTTATATTATTAATTGGATGATTAACAAACAACACATTATATCATGTATACAAAGCTAAAAATTCATTTTCAGGACCAATTCGATGACATATTCCAGTACCAACCAGCATCAACAACTCGATTAACATGCAAGAAGGCCACCAAGAAGTTGTGCAAAAACTTTTTGAGTATTCAAAGCTTTCTAAACTTCCTGATTTCTTTCTTTCCAATATTGAAATGGTTCCCAGAATACAATTGGAAAGAGAATGTCATGGGCGATCTGATGGCTGGCATCACGGTGGGCATCGTGCACGTTCCACAAGGTATTGCTTATGCCATTTTGGCTAATGTTCCACCAGTTCAAGGGTTGTATACAGCGTTTTTTGGAGTACTATTTTACTCGTTTTTTGGGACTTCGAAGCATGTTTCTGTCGGTAAGTGGTTGTGATAAAGAAGGTACTATAATAATATTAGAGTTATTTGAATAGGTCTTATTTGTTAGAGGTCAAACCTTTATAAAACTTGTTTTGAAACGACTTAATTATTCAAAGTTTCAATACTTGGTTTTAAAAAGTCTTGTCGTTGTTTTGTAAAGAAATACACGTTAAAAAGCGACAATACTTTTTTGGATTTTTACTAAAATATTGAATTGGTAAAAAAAAGTTTGTATAAATGATTGATTTGGAAGTTAAAGCTTTATTACCTATTTTTCGTTATGTGTTGTAGCTCTTTTGTTGTTTAAACAAAAAGATTTTGTAGTTTTTCATTAAAATTCGTAACTTAAAGTGAAAAATGAAGAGTAATCCAATCAATTGCTTGGAGACGACAAAAATAAAGAAACGTTCAGGAAGTTTTTTGTACTTCTTAATGGTATAATAAACCTAAAAAGGCTTTTTATAAATACAGGAATTCAAAATATGATTAATATATTTTCAAAAATTTAAATTTAAGCGGCCAATCTAAAACAACATCTAAATAAAAACAATATTTCAGGCTCATTCGCGGTAATATCACTGATGACAGGCGTTGCGTGTACGGAGATAAAAGCCAGGATAGACGAAGAGTACTATAAGTTAGAGGCCAAGTACATTGGAGATGCTCACAACCTGAACAAACAGTACGATCTTCACAATTTCACCGTCCAGATGCCGAAGTTGGATCTGGAGAACGTGGAGATTGTGTCTACAATAACATTTGTAGTCGGACTGATTCAATTGTTGATGGGCTTGCTTCATGTCGAGTTCTTGGCCGCTTATATGAGTGATCAACTGGTTAATGGGTTTTGTACTGGTGCTGCTGTGCACGTTGTTATTGTACAGTTCAACAAGTTGTTCGAGATCAAAGTGAAGAAGGCGGACGGTTATGGGTACATTTTTAAGGTAAGGATGGGGTGGTTGTTATTATATTATTAAAAATGAATTTTTTAGGTAACATATTGTTTAAAAACTGGCAAAATGTAGTTTTTATACTTAAATATATATAAGAAACATTATTTTACATTGCCATGGTACCTAAAAACTAATATAACATCTTACAGTACATTTACGATGTGTTTGCAAGTATCCAGAAGACCAATCTTGTGGCAGCCGTCTTATCTTTGGTCGGGTTTGTCATCCTATACATTGGGAAAGATATAATCAACCCATTGGCCGAGAAGAGACTCCCTTGTCCAATACCTTTTGAGCTGATATTGGTCATTCTCTCCACAGCTGTGTCAGCATTCTTTAATCTTCACAAAACTCAGAATATCTCTATCGTGGAGAACATTCCTTTAGGGTGAGCTTTCAAATATAAGTAGTGGCAAAAACTTATATTATACAATATATATATATTGATAAATGAATTTATATTTAGGTTACCCGAATTCAATCTGCCAAGAACTGATATTATCCATCTAGTTCTATATGATTCTCTGGAAATAGCAGCAGTGGTTGTGGCGTTACATATCAGTATGTGCAAGGTATTTAACCGGAAGTTGGGTACTCGTACTGACAATAATCAGGTAAGTACTAGATGTGAGGATAAGGTTGGGTAATGGGCAATGCAATGAGACTTAGTTTTCGGTCGAAAAATTGTTTAGATGCTTGGTATAATATTTTATGTCATTTTGCGCCATATTATAGTAGGTTAACTGTAACATTTCTAGGAATTATATGCTCTTGGCTTCATGGGTACATTATCATCGTTCTTTGGAACTTATCCGATTACTACGTCTTTGGGAAGATCAATGCTGAATGTTGAATGTGGTGTTAAAACACAGGTTAGTTTTTAAACTTTTTAAAGTTGGAAGTTAATTTTGAGATTTTTGTTAAGTATGCTTTACTATATGCAACACCTAATATGTCATTTTTTGAAAATGCGGTATTTATTTATGGTATATTTTTTCAATTTTGAAGTTTTAGATGTCCGCCTACTTTTGCGGAGCTCTTCTTCTGGTGGTCATCTTGTCGGTTGGCCCTTTGTTATCAGCACTTCCAATGTGTATATTATCTGTTATAATCATTTACTCTGTAAAGAACGTCTTCAAGAAGATGCCTTTTGAACTGTGGCATTTATGGAAAGTGGCCAAGATGGATTGTGTAAGTTATTTGATTATTTTTGTCATTTTAAAAGCTTTTTGTATTTGAAAATGATAAGACTTTGTTTAAAAGGTCAAAAAGTTATGGAGTTTTATGTTATGGACGTAAATTTTTTACTTGTATAATAGTACAATACTAATGCCTTTCATTATGCCACAATCAAATATGCAATTTTAGGTAATCTGGCTAGTCGCCTTTCTCTCAACTGCCATTTTCAATGTAATGACAGGCCTGATATTCTCCATCGTCTTCGCTCTCCTCACCACCGTATTCAGAATCCAATGGCCGCGATGGCAAGTGTTGAGTAGACTGAATGGCACAGAAGAGTACCGTGATTGTGGAAGATACGCCAGAGTGACGTTCATCAAGTCGATAAGAGTATTCAGATTCGACGCTCCACTGTTGTTCACGAACGTCGACAGTTTTGCGAATGCCGTGGAGAAAGCGTTGTGGACGCAGAGACTGAAGTTGAGGAAGCCGAGCAGTCCAGCCAAACGAGTTGTCGCCAAGATATTTGCGAAGAACGGGAAACAGGTAGATTTTGAAATTTTTAATTTTGAAGTAAAGTGTTTTTAAAATAATTTTTTTGGTTTTTAAATTTCGAAATGTAATTTTTTTAAATTTTGAAGTTTTCATTTGAAATGTGAACCCTCAAAGGTGTCTTTAAAAGTTTTTAAAAAGTGATGAAATTTTCGTAAAAATTGCTTTTTTGTAATAAAAAGAAGAGTTTAATTAATCATGACACGTTGTTTTGTTTAATACAACCTTGTTTATGGTGTTTGACGTGTTATAGTAGTCCTATAAGCTCATATTTAAAAATGTTAAAGGGGTGGATTGAAAAAATTAATTTTTGCAAAAAAAGTGTCAATTTGATGTGTTACTACATGGTTTAACATTTTTTTGATGTTTTGTTGCAGGATTTCAACATTTTTTAAACGAAATGGGAGGTTTTGTCACGGAATGTATTGTTGGTTATAGTAATCAAACTTTCAGAAATTTCATTTTGAAATACTGTTTTAATGCTTATTCTCTTCAGATGCAGAACAAACAGCTGAGCGAAGATGTGAAACACTTTATAATCGACTGTTCTGGCTTCACTTTTGTCGACTACACCTCAGTATCCTCTCTCATCGACGTGTTCCATCAACTAGAGAAGCGTGACATCTCTGTCTACTTTGCTGGAGCCAAAGCACCAGTCAGAGACAAGTTGGAAGACTGTGGATTCTTCAAATCGGTCGGTCGTTCCAACTTCTACCCTACCATTCACGATGCCGTCAACGCTTCTGTAGCCGCGATGAAGCAACAAGACCCCAAGTGTATGGTCAGATCTCCAAGTGTCTTCAGAAGCTCCATAGTGGTACCAATGGGCGGAGACCCTCAGGCCAACATTGCTTATGTGCCAGAATCAGAAGCATCGGATTCAGATGAACCTATTGAGATTCATTACATAGAGGAGGAGAAGGACAGAGACTCGAACGTCTAGAGGCATGGTGAAGATGTGAACGTATGGAAGACAGGATTCTGGGTAAAGTGTTGCTTGTGAGGTACTGTCATGATATGAGTATAACAATATGTTAGTATATGTTATTGTAGTCATTTTATGCTTGGCAATGTTATTGTAGTCACTTTAAAGTGGCTTTGCAATTTTATTAATATTAATTTTTTTTAATTGTTGTTACTGGTACTATGTCTTACTCACTTTTTATCTTTAACTTATATTAATTAGCATTCTTTCACTTTTTAACATTATAATTGACAATATTAGACTCGGCTTTTGAACTTAACAAACGACAATGTTTGACATTGTCAGTAGCTTTTAATCATAAACTGTTCATAACTCTTATATTATTAACTGATGTTTATATCTTTCAGAACTTATCATTTTTATCTTATGTTAGTCTTCCAAAGATTGTGCGATTTGAAAGGATTGTAGCAATGTGTCTGTAAATACTATTGAAACGAAGTATGTTATATCACAATAAATTCTTAAAAAAACTTTGGACACTATTATCTTAGGTCATTCTTACGTATTTATCGATATGGTAAATAGTAGTGTTAAGCACACTCAGTTAGAGGGGAACTTGTTTCGTCTTTATTGCGGAATGCCAACGATTTTCTTCTCCGCTAATTATTTGTTTTGGCATTTGCATAAGATCATTTAGGCGCGTTTTATCGATAGGCAGTGTCTTCACTATGACAAAAGATCACAGTATATTAAAGAAGAATGTATTTCTTGAAGATCTTCCAGAAAAAGTAAGTTATACTATCCCAATTTCATCTATTATTTAGGTATGGCAAATCATTTTAGCTAAAATGGTAAACATCGACAGCTTAGCTGCATTGGCTGCGACAAATAAAACGTTTTACAAACGGATCAATAGAGACTTTAAATCTATGTGTTATAGCGATGGCATCTACAGACTCGTTGGAGAAACTTGGGCGACTGCTTTCAGCTTGTAAGGTTGTCTATTGGTACTCTACCTTATCTGTTTCTACCTCACACCACTCTACACAACTTTATCTTATACAAGTCTATCTTATCCTACCTTAGCTTCCCGTACATCTATTTTACCTTAACAACTCACATTTAGGACGGCACATCGTGCATTTGACCTTTTATGCGGAGTAACGTGCCCTCACTCTGGAACATTTGCTTTTTATTTACGACCACATTATGTCGTTCTTTCTCACATTGACTTTTCAAACTTCAAATTCGAATTGCTTGACTTCAAAGATCAGTTGAGAGCACCGATTATGAAAGTGTCTGTGATAAACAAGGGAAAACGGTTGATTATTCATTGTCAGAACTCAATAAACGACCAATTTGCATATCTGTATGACATTGAGACAAAACAAATTCTGAGAAGTTTTGAAACAACTGACGTCCAATTTAAAGACTACACTCAGCTACTGGACAACAATATTGTATACGACCCGTACAGTAACAAAGAATTCGAAATCCCTCCAGGAATGAGACGTTATCGACCACAACATTCAGACACATTTAGTGAACATCGTTACATTGCTGGAGATGATGGATGAGGAATTGTACCTAAAAGACATGATAAGGTTATCAAGTTTGGTAAGGTCACTGTGATGAGTGGATTCAACCATTGTATTCTGGAAGAAGCTGGCTTGCTTATGGTCAGAAGTAAGGTTATATAATAGTACTAAAGGATAAAAAGCTAGTTTTTTAACTATGTAAACATACTGTAGTAAAAGACGGTTTAGAATATATTTAAATTTCTATTTCAGATAAAGCTAACGAACACTTTGGCTACAATAACATCGAGGTATACGACTTACAAACTCCAGAAAAGCTTTATGAACGTTCGCTAGATAACAGAGATGATATGTGGAAGGGATCTTCAAACTTCTCCATAGTAAATATAAACACTGGCGAAGTAAGTATTAGATTAGAAGATTTTACTATCATTATATGAAGGCTATATACTATCATATTATATTTTTGAGGTTTCTAAGATTAAATAACAAGTTAAAGGTTCATTGTATATACATACGTCAAACTGCACTTTTTGAAAATCGTACTAACCATAATTGTCATATTCAGCACATCATTTACAATCCTATTGAGAAAAAAAGTCTACTCGAGGTTTGTCTATTGTCGGTGTCCGGACACACATGAACAGATACCTGTTGAAGAATTCTGCAGTTTTTCGTTATCATACAGAAGAGAAGGTTGTAGACGATTTGATTTTTGCATGACTCACATTAATGAAAAAAAAACCATTTTATTTTGATTTTTCTACTGGTAAGTAGAGAGTGGGGTAAGGTAGGGTAAGGTACGGTAGGGTAGGGTAGGGTAGGATAGGATAGGGTAAGGTAGGGTAGGGTAGGGTAGGGTAGGGTAGGGTAGGGTAGGGTAGGGTAGGGTAGGGCAGGGTAGGGTAAGGTAGGGTAGGGTAGGGTAAGGTAGGGTAGGGTAGGGTAGGGTAAGGCAGGGTAGGGTAGGGTAGGGTAAGGTAGGGTAGGGTACGATAAGGTACGGTAGGGTACGATAAGGTACGGTAGGGTACAGATATAACATATTTTTTGAATCCACCAAACTTTTCTTTTACATTAATGCCAAATTATTTAGGAAATCTAAAGTTGATGATAGTTGAAGATTTAAATGTGTTGGGCGACTCACCGTTCTTCTTTGACATTATCAAGAAGTGTCAAGCGTTGATAGATGAATGCGAAACTTATGGATATGATAGTGATAGTTTGTCTGAGAAAGTAAGAAACTTTTTTGCAGATAATCTACAAATACTACTCACACGATACCCGATACCAGTGCTCAATAGGGTTTTTGAGAACAAGACTTCACGAATAACAAAGTTAGATTTTATATAATCATTAAACTATATTATTTTATTTAATAATATGTTTAAAAGACAGTTTGTGAGAAGTTCTTATTCCAAATATGCAAAATAAGAGATTAAATTAGTGCATTTTTTTGAAAATTAGTGCGATTTTTGAATGCAGGTACCGATTTGGACCAGTAAAACCACTTAAATGTTGCAATAAGATATATGTAGAGCATAAAAAGCTATGTATATGTTCCAAATTTCAAAGCAATTTAAGCTGTTGCAGGTAAGACATAATCCGGCAAAGTAAATTTTGTAAATCTATCATTATGACACATTTTTTAAATATAATTTTTGAACTGTAGTTTTAGACATATTTAAAATTGTCTTTATGTTTTTGTCTTCTCCCGGCTTTATTTGACCGTTTTCTGCCATTTCCGACCGCGGTCTCTCAGCCGGGTTCGAACCGGTGTTGTTTTGGTTTGGTGGAAAACGCGCTACCAGCTAGACCAAGAAAATTTTACCACGGGATCTATAATCGAAAATGATGCCTTCTAGAGCAGAATTTTGCGCTGGTTTCAAATATGGGATAAAATTATGATAAAATAATGCAATTTGTTTGAGAAATGATGTGTTTTTTGTGTGCAAGTACCAGCTTGGACCATTAGAACCAGTCGTATCAATTTGACATAATAAGACAAAATGTAGAGCACAAAAAATTTTAAAATGTACCAAATTTCAAAGAAACTAAAATTATTGTCGTTGAGATATGGCCCGGCAAGGCAAAATATTGAAAATCCATCATCATGACATATTTTTTTAAAATACTGTACGATAGGGTAGAGTAAACTAAGGTAGGAATGGTAAGTTAACTTTATATTATTGTGTTCTATACTGTTGTAGCCTTACAAAAAGCTCTAAAACCTTTATTGTAATGGTTTATATCAACAAGAAACAGCAAGAATATTAAATGTTAGCCCGGTTGAGGAGGAGGCAGTCCTTCGAACGACTGCGACAGATAATACCACCAGTATATGAGCTGAAATGTAAATTATATAGCTACAGTAAAGATAATACAAAGTATAATATACTACCTATTAAACCAAAGTTAATATATTACTGTTATATATGACTGTAATGTGTACTATGTGCACAACGCTATAAAGGCATGCCATCTTACGTTAAAGAATGTAAATGCCAGCGGGAAACAAACGATAGACATCTTGTCGATGCTCTCTGGCTGTATATTCAACAAATGCCGTCGACGTGCCACGGTTCGAAGATACATTGGTTGTGGTTGATACCCGTTTATCTAAAGCATAATGTCATAGATATGTACAAACTTTTAAATTAATTATATTTGACTATTTTTTCCTAAAAATGCAAAACATTTAATAAATTTCAAAATTTAAAAATCAAAAGATTTTTAAAAAATGACAGATTTTTTGTTTACTGTATCACAGAATAAAAAATCACAGTGCTAATATCGTGACATATAGTGACAACAACACGAGATAAAATGTCAACAGACATCCAATATGTCATAACTATCATTGATGACAAATTGTTTTGCACATGACAAAACCTGGTCAAAAACTTTTGGAATAAACAATTTTAAAGCTTACTGGTCAAAAATTAAGTAGCTGAGCTGTGAATAATCCCACAGCTTTTTCACAAAATATTCTTTTAAGTTTGACTCAAATCAGCAATTCTACAGACTTTTTGACCGGTACAAAACATTCCACACGGTCTTGGTCCAATTTACAGCTATCTTATGTCATTTTGGTTAAAGTAACTTTTAAAATATTAGTAAAATCCAACTGTAAGCCACCTTACCTGTTCAAAAGTCAGTGGCCCAGCTGGTGTGAACATAGAGTTCATCTCCAGATTGTGAGCCGAACTCGTAGGCGACCCTGGCCTCAGAAGCCTCGACGATGGAGGCGGTGACGGACTCTGACGAAAGTGTGTAGCCGATCCATTGGTCGGTAGTGCATGACTTGACCTTCGATTCCGAGTATCGTGACTTAGTAGCACAGCACGGTTGGCTTCAGTCCTACCGTTCCCACAAACACCGTTGGCATAGGGCCTGTAGCGAAGACTTCCGATCTGATGTTCTCGACTTGGAAGACATCCGAAAGCGCCCATTGGAGTGCTGGTCATACCGTTCACAATGGAGGACGAGGAACTACTGACCGAATGATAAGGTGCATGTTGTGGAGGGTCTGTCTTCTTGTGGCCAGCTTGACATCGTGTTATGTAGCAAACAAAGGCCAGTTCTACCATCGTGCCGAAGACGAAGGAGATACAACCTAAAAGTAGAATAGTTTAAAATACTAAAACTACCTTTAAGATGACATATATTATTAAAAATGCTTTTTAGATGACTTATATTGTACAATACTATCAATTATTGCTCAAACTTGTAGCCTTAATGCTCTTACCTAACATCCACACATCCATAGCCTTGACATATGATACACGAGGAAGATTTTTAAGAATGTTGCCAAACTAAAATCAATCAAAGATATGGCCATTTTAAGCTATATTTTGAAAAATTTTGAAAAAAAGGAAATTACCATCATAGTAATAGCCAGCAACGAGCTGACGCCTACCGTTGTCCGCGCCGGCAGAGCCTTTGGCTCCATACAGAAAGACACCCAGCTTACAATAATTGTTAGATATCTGAAAGAAATGAAGGAATGTCTAATCATTGTGTAAAATATAATTGTGTAAACCATAAATACTGTCAAATTTGTGAAGAGTGTGATATATTTTGTCAAATCTTAATTTTTTAGCCAAAAACGTAAACTAACCTACTTTTTAAGTAAATAAGACCTCAAAATCAAATATTACAGTACCCCAATCAAAAAGTTTGTATTTACAAAAATATTCCCTATACTCTGTTACCTATTCATACAAATTTTCAAGATATTCTACCCATTAGTTTTCGCTCTACAACGCTTCTAATGTAAGACAACATACAACAACTCTAACACAACATACGTTGGAACGTAGGCCTGAAGAATGTAGAACCCGTATCTTCGTTTGAATGTAAAAACAGCCTGTAGCTGGTCCCAATTGCCATTAGGATAGTAGAACTTCTCCGTCCTCGTGTCGTACTGTACCATGTCAAAGTCCGGTAGCTGAATGACCTTCATCAACGTGATCGGCTCGTCCATCCAATGTAACGACACCTCTTCGTTGTTGTGACTGTAGCTTTCGAACAACAATGTACAGGTTTGGGTATCAAATGGAAAGGTACGAAGGTCCAGAGCACATGGTGCTTTCACTGACAACCGGTGGTTCGTCCATACTGTGCCGTTCTAAAAGTTTTGGTGGTTTAAAGAAGTGATTAAAATAAAATACGAACTTTTGTGCTCACCTTTAAAAATTTAAATTTCCTGAGAATTAAAAAAATTAAAATTTACTAACTTAAAAGTACAACCAGTTCAAAAAAGAATGACTTACATCATAAAGGATGAAGAATATATTCTCCGTGGGAGATTTATGGACTGTGGTGGCTTTGGAGTTAATTATACACCTAAAATACAAATTTTTTAAAACTTTTCATTACTGTTTTTATTAAAAGACTTTAAAGTAAATTTAAATTATGTTTTTACCTCACCCGGTCAAAAAGTTTATAGTAAAACTACCAAAAAATGTAAAAAATGGCAGTTTTTAAGCATTTTTCGTCATTTTTAACCAAAATGACACTCTTTTTTAAACTTTTTTGACTAATTCACATTAGCTTTACACTTTTTGACAATTCCATCGCAAATTGGAATTAACCTACGTATTAGGCGTCCATATTTTGTGCAAATACCGGGTTTCCATCGTGATATTCCTGATGCACTGTGAGTGATTCGTGAAGCTGAGTGACGAGTCGTGCCATAATTGTGTGAACAGAATGTCGATTTGAAAGTCGGCCGAAATCTCGTTCAACGATCCCATATCCTGAAAGAATTTTATTATTTCTATTTTGAAAAAATCAAATTCTGATTTTCTCGCCGAATTTGGCATTTATCAGTGAAGGTGCCCGACCTGCCCCGCTCTAATAGACTTTAAACTTTTTATATAGAAAGATCATGTAAATATAAGATCTTCAGGAAAGTATTAAATCGGGCTTTCCAGGAAATCTCGAGAAAACTCGAAATAAAAATTAAATTTTAAATTTCCCGCCAAATTGGCATTGTGTTCCAAGTTAATAACATAGTAGCACCTTGACTTTTAATCATTTGTCTTTCATGTACTAGTAGAAAAAGTTGAAATGAACCAAAATTTTTTAATTTGTAAGCGTATAAAAGTGCTTGAAACACAATGCCAAATTCGCCAAATTGGCGGGAACTTCAAATAATTTAATTTTAAAACTCAAAAAGGTGGACTAAAACTTTTTGTGGGTACTATTGGTAGCACAAAGAAATCCTATAAAAATTTTGAGTTGCTTCTGAGCGGGGCAGATCAGGCATTTTTCTTGTAAATTTTAAATTTAATTTCAAAATTGAAAACTACAAAATGTTAACATACCTGTACATGCATTTCAATGTTCACACCGACACTTCCATCCGTATCTGGCAGCATTTTTGTGTAGTTTCCCATCAATTCATTCACAATTCTGCCTTCTGACCATGATCCTTCTGGGCATTTCTTTCGTCTCGCCATTACCTACAATACATTAGCTTTAACACAATTTAACATTATACAGCTATTTTGCTATAATATTTTCTAAAGAAGTATCAAATTAATATTTAATTTTAAATTGCACTTTAAAGAGTTTTTATTAAGATATTATGATAGTTATAACTGTAATATATATTACTAGTTCTTGAGTCTGTAGCCATAACGATGCTCTTGTAGTCAAGCTACACGAAAAGGTTTAACGAGGAGTCAAATTGGATAAAAAACAATCAAATTACTACTGTTAAGGACACTTTTAGAGAAGGAACGACTACTGTAACAGTGTTTCTGGCTTCAATTAAGCGTTCGTTTTAAAAATTTCAAAATTTATGGTATAAAAGTTCGTAGAAACGGCCATAAGAAAGTCTAATATCTAACTTCAAAGTTTGCAAAATAAGTTAGCTTGGTTTTGACTTTGTTTCTACAAACTTTTCGACCGCAAAAGAAAGTCTAATGTCAATAATGTCACTTATAAAGTAAAAAACTGCCCTTTTATGACTTTAAAAGTGCATTTTTAAACAAAATTGCAAATATAAAAATAAAATTTAGTGTCTTATAGCTATTTATAGCCGGACCATTAAGATTAGCTATAAATTTCGTTTGTTATATTAATGTCAAAAGCAGAGCTGGCCAAACAAAGCTCGTCAAATTTCTTCAAATTATTGCCTCAAAAGCTTAGAATTAATTTTTCAAGTTTAATATAAAATTGTTTAAAAAATTGAAAAATATTTTAATATTTATATGTAGACTAATACCTAAACCTAAAATTTTTTTGTAATTTTACTTTTTTATAATTAAAAATGACTTTTTTTTGCCCTTTAAAACCCCGAAAACTGCCATTTTTCACTGATATCCAAGCTCAAAAAAAAACCGTCTTAAACGAAACCCAATCCCACGTTCCAGGTCAACGTGCCACACTGTAATCTACTCACCTCGGGCAACGTGAACAAACAAATGAAGCCGAACAAGTATCTCATTGGACACACTCTCAGTCAGCGTTTTCTTCGCATTGCAGTCCGCCACGATGCCTTCTGAAGTTAAATGGCCGTCGGTGGGGGTTTCTGAAGTTAAACGCCATAATTGGCAGCAAGGTCATGATTGTAGTGAGCGAGGAATGTCATAATTGAGCGAGGAATGTCATAATTGGGCGAGCAAAATGTAAAAAAAAGTTTCGAAATTAAAATTTTGGGCTCCCGCGGCGCGACTGACAAAGTTTTTTAGACGAAATTGGAAGTTTTTGAGGGGGAGAAACTATGAATACAGATGACGATGGATAAAATAAACTTTGTTTGATAAGTTCAGTAAAAAACAATAAGCAAAATATGTTAAAATTTAGACTAAACCACTAAAAACAATGACAAAATTACCAAAATCTTCGATAATTTGACATAGCTTTCACTTTCAACATAAAAAATGTTTAGTCAACAACAATGAAAGTTTACTAAATTTAAGCACACAATAGCTGAATATATTTAAAACAATGTTTACTATCCAAAAACCTCAAATTTCAATTAACGACCGGTCAAAAAATAAAAGTTTTCGCAATGGACAGGGCCCGTTTGGTACAAATTTAGCTGAACTTCTTTTGAAAACGGGTTGAAACACTTTATTTAGACTACTATATCGGGTTTCAAAACTAGTACAAAGCAGTCGAAATGCTTTAAACTTTATTCCAAATTTAAATTTTTTAAAGTTTAAACAAATTTTTTTACAAATAGGTCAAAAAGTGTGTAGAAAAACTTGTTATTTGGCTCAAATTTCGTTTATTATAGCCAATTCTGCCTACTTTTTGACCAACGCTAAATTGATGACATAAGAACAGAAAGTAATGTCGCAAATTTTAATTAAAACTTTTAAAACACAAAAACACCCCCTAATTGTTATATAAAACACCCCCTATTTTTCGAATCCAACCCCGTTTCAGAAATGAAAAAAAGCCGGCTCCACACGTCGCTCAGGTGGACCCGAAAATGAATAAACAACGGAAATTCGAATCGTGGCATCTGAAGCCGAAGGCACACGCAATAAAGACACCCAAGCCCGGCCGAATAGCCTCAGGCGATCGGCCGGGTTCGGCTTATTACTCGTGAACTTTTGTCTACAAACAACGGATTTTGTTGAGGAAGGGAAGGTCAAGAAGATTCTTTTAGTTTTTTTTGATTTTATAAGTTCCTTGTCGGTTGTGGGGCGGGGTAGATCAAAAAATGTGGGGGAAGGTGGAAAAATAAACCTATGAAAACGTCACTGGGCACGGTAAAAGCGCGTAGCAATGCCTCGCTTTTACCCTGCCCAATGACGTTGCCAACTTTTGTGACCAGACATAACAACAACAACAAACTGGAAGACGAAGATCAGTCATGTGCAAGTAGAAAAACGGTTAATGCACTTTGCAAATGTCAGTACTGTCTCCGTTTGTTAGTGCGCGTCCAAGTACAGCCCAAATCAATGTAGTTACAGTATACTTTTAAGTAAAGAATTTAAAGTGTACAGTCGGTAGTATACTTTGGCCATTATGTTGTTAGAATAATTCTAGGCCCCCCTAACCCCAAAAAAGTAGCATTAAGATGATGCACATAATTATTTGAACAACATATTATTATTTAAAACCTACCATAAAAGTTATGTTCCTTTGCACACAGTACCCAATATACAAGTCTTGCTTTACAGTACCCCCTACTACCTTCCCGAGCCCACAGATGCACTACAGTACCCCGCAATGTTGCGGTTTCCTCGAAAACGTACTAAAAGTTTTATTAAACATTCCATAAATCAGGCCTTCTCAACACGACGGCGGCTTCAGAATCTTTGTTTCCGAAGATAAGATTTATGGAATAATGCCTGGAGGGCAATTCCCGTCATCCTATGGGTTTAATGACAGCCGGGAACGTTCGTTACGTAATCGTCCTCTCAAATCTCATTTCCACCACCAATAACTAAGTTTGGGGTGGGTAGGCGAAAGAACGTTTACAACGTGCTGAGGGCTGTAATAAGGGTAAAAACTTGAAATACTTTTATATTTTTGAATGAAATGCTTACATGATATTAACAAAGACAGTACCCAATCTGCCGTACTCAGAATCAGCTTAAAGTTTTTATATAAATTCTTTGTACCACCAATAGTACCTATAAAGAATTTTAGCTCGAGCTTTTAAGTTTTAAATTTTAAATATTTAAGTTTCCCGCCAATTTCGCAAGTTTGGCGTTGTGTTTCAAGCCCTATTTTTTCACTTTTCAGACAAACTATGCCTAAAAATTGAAAAATGTAGGTTTATTTACCACTTTTCCTCCTTCCCTTTTGAGCCTATCACAGAACTATAGCTCGTAGACCAGACATAACACTTTACTCTAATAAATTATAGCTTTAATCTAACCTTTCACCCTATAAAATTAATAAAAATGTCAAGAATCTCTAAAAAAACTGTCAAAGATGACAAAAAAGTACCTCTGAAGGCGATGTGTCGTCTAGTAGAAGATCGACACAAATTCATTAAAACCGCCTGAGGGGAAGGGAAATGTTGCCTCGATTAAGCGTAATTATTTGTTTTTGCCAAAGATAAAGTAAAGCTCAAAGAGTCAGAGTACAAGGATGAGACTACTCTTGGTAGGAATACACATACCAACAGTAGTATTCCGACATAAAGAACCCGCCAGTTTTACAATTAATTACAGGCTGGCGGGTTCTTTATGTCGGCACCTAATATATAACTGTATATTAGGTTGTTCACGTAATTCTCAGCGCTCTAACACCGCAAATTTGTTTTGAGAAGGAATACAGTATTAAGTAAACAACCTAATACTAAAATGTCACTAATGTTTTGTCGTGAAATTGCACTGTTTTGCAAGTGCAAAAGCGCCAAGACTTTATTTGAGACTTTAGCGTGGTAAAATACGCCGCCAACACTAGTCGAATGCAAAAAATATATAAATTTGGAAAATTAGAATTTAATTAAAACAAAATTTAAAAATCTATTTTATGGCTTTTGCTTGTTTTGCTCAACATTACTAAAATCTTTTTAGCTGATTATGGATATCTTAAGATTAGTTATCATCATTTTTAGACAAAAAAAATAATAATCAACAAAAAACTGTAAAAACAATACTCAAATTTTAAAAATTGAGCTTTACAATCTTGTAAAATATACGATTTTTCAAAAAAAGATATATTTTTGATTATCAATGATTGTCTTGATCTAAAACGGCAATAAACGTCGATTTTCAAAAAAACTTTCAGAATTCGTCCCCGAACAATATGTCACCCGATGAAATAGGTAACATCTCAGAATAGGTATCTTCCCAGAATACGCTAAAAAGAAATCACCTTACTGAATAGATTACGCCAATGTAGATTTCAAAAATATACTCATTTTAACCCTACCTAGCCTTTGTCCATTTTAGCCTTACCCAAGCCCACTGCTGCCCATTTTAACCCAACCTAAGCCAACTTCTGCTCATTTTAGCCTTTTCCAAATATATAACTGCCTATTTTTATCTTTTCTCAAGTATACCCTGCCATTTTTTGCCCTTCCCCAATCTATTCTTGCTTATTTTAGGCCCACGAAAGCGTACTGCTGCCTATTCAACCTTACCCTACCTTTAGAATCTAAATCCTTCAAGTTTACCTAAAACTTTTAATTCTGTATTAAACCCCCTCCCTAAAACTTTTATTAAACCCCCTCGTGTTCAATTTAGGTTTTAGTACCGAAATAACACAAAACACAGAATCCGCCTGAAAGCCCTTGTGTCAATACTAATCACAATTCATAAACTTTCATTAAACCTTCGGCTCGGAAAGACTAATTATCAAACAGTAGGAAAACATAAATAGGTATGACATAGAAAACCATAAAAAGTCCGAAAATATAATATATATAACATGAAATGTCTTTCTAAAACAAAAACATGACTATCAGCAGATATAATCGACCACATTGTACCATAAATAACACTGTGTTACACCATAAATAACATTCTTTACACCATAAATAATATTATTAACAAGACGTTCAATCCGAAAAGAAAAGGCAAAAGTTTTATTCTTTCGAATTCATCAATCAGTCATGTTCAACATGTCCAAAGTTTAGCCTGATCGAGCACTCTTACGTATCTTTTATCAATTAGACTGTGATTATGTGTCACTGCCAATTCAAAAAGTACGTTTTTTCGAAAATTTGTCAATTTCAATCGATTTAAAATTGAAATTCAATCGAAGATTGATTGGAAATATTTGAAAAAGGTGATATTTCTTGTCTTTATGTTGTTGTAGGTACAATATAACACATATTACATAAAACCAAAAAAATAGATATAGGTAAATCAAAGAGGATAGTTGATTAAAAATAGAAAAAATAAGCAAGTAAGCAATTACAGGGGTGAGAAGCGGGTTGTCTAAACCCGGCCGGCCCAACTCCTGACCTACAATTGGGTTGAGCGGGGCTTGAGCTAAAGTTGAGACGAGCCGAGCTTGAAAAGTAGGCCCGGGCCTAAAAATAAAATTTTTTCTTTATTGGACTAAACCAAGCTAAAAAAACGGTCGGACCTAAATGTTGTGTTTCGGGCACGAGCCAGGCTTGAAAAGTGGGCCCCACCCGTTTTTTACCCCCCGGCAATTAAGACGGCAGGAGGTGGAGAAAAATTGAAATGTAGAATTGAAGTAAAGAGCAAACTTGAAAATAGAAATAGCTATTATTATATATTATACTGAGAGCAATCACACCTCTCCCAGTCGTGCCCATACACACCCACAAGCCCCCCCCGATCCTTAAAAACGGCCATATACTCTACCGTTTGCCTTGCTGCTAATACAGATATCTAATCGGCCCCCTGCCCTCCCAATATGACTATATACTCAATCCTTTCCTCTCCCTTTTTAATTAAACTACATGCTTTCCCACAATACGATCATCTACTCAACCTCCCTCCCCTCCTCACGAACGGCTACAATAATTAAAACCAGCAAGCGGTTTTTGGCTAATTCTTT